TCTGTACAGTTTCATTTTTTGGAGTTTTGATGTTAGTTATAACTGCTATATTGCCTACACAGACTTATTACAGATATTACTGTATTACAAGGTAAAACATACAGTAAAAACTAATTTGCTTTAGCTTTTCTATAGCCTTATACAAGACTTGGTTAAGTTTTGTTCTAGTCTTATTTATTGCATTCTTATTTTATTAGGTGTTGACATAAACAACCCGCCATTTTTTACAGAAAGTTACAGAAAAAATATGGCGGGTTTTATGTCGGCACCTAATAACTCCGCTCTAGGCTTGACTCAGCATTAGCCTAGTTCTAAAGTAGTAATAACCTAGCTTTTTTCATATGTTATTCTTAAGCTTTAGCATAGCCTTGTCCTCTGCTCTATCTTAGACATACTTCAGCGCGGTTCTACCTCTATTCTAACTTTTAAAATGATTGTATAGGCCCAGAATTATTCAAACAACCTAATGCATACTATAATATTAGGTGCCGACATAAAGAACCCGCCATTTTGCACAGGACGTTACAGGGAAAGTATGGCGAGTTCTTTATGTCGGGACCTAATATAAACTATAATAAAACCCTATTATAGCCTTAACAGCTGCCTTAACAGCCTCTTCTTTATCTTTTTCTTAGCTACACCCTAGCTTTGTCATAGTTCTGTTTTAGCTCAAACCTAGTCCTATTTCTCTTATCTCCACCTTACAAGGAAAGGTCCCCACCGCGCATTGGACTGGTGAAAAACTGGTACATACAAATTGTAGAGCATGGTCAAATTAGTCAAAAACCGAAAAAAAATTTACCGCTCGTGGGGGTTTTTTAAAAAATTTTCTTATGTTGAAGTTTAAAATATTAATTGCGCTTGCGCTAGGCTCGGAAAAGAAGAGGAAAGTGCCGTGCTGCTATTGCGCAGTGGTTGCGCTCTCGTCTAACGCTCAAAGCCCGTCGGTTCGGGTCCCGCCGGAGACGATTTCTTTTATGCCTGGATTAACATTTTTATAAATAAAAAAATTATTTTTTTTAGTCAAATTTTGTTTTGTTTACATCAAGGAATCAATTTTTCTCTTATTAAGCTTGTTTTTAATATAAAAAACTCTACATACTTATCCATCAGATCACCTCAGAACAAAACTTCCCCATTATTACAAATAAAAACAAAATAATAGTACTATTTAAAAAAAAATAGAACGAAAAAATTGTTAAAAAAACGTTTAACTAAAAAAATTATTTTTTTTTACTTTTACAAAAGTTAATCCGGGCACAAAAGGGCTTGCCCTCGACGCTTCCCGAACCGACGGGCTTTGAGCGTTAGCCGAGAGCGCAACCACTGCGCTATTGCATCACGGAACTCTCTCCTCTTCTTTTCCAAGTTTAGGCGAGCGCAATTAATATTTTTAAACTTTGACATAAGAAAATTTTTTAAAAAACCCCCACGAGCGGTAATTTTTTTTTCGGTTTTTGACTAATTTAACCATGCTCTACAATTTGTATGTACCAGTTTTTCACCACTCCAATGCGTGGTGGGGACCTTTCCTTGTTAGTTTTGTAAGCTTTTTGTTTTAGCCTACCTTATTGTAACTTTTTTTATTTTTTGAACTTTTTAAAATTTTTTAAAATTTTCAGATCAAACCCAATGACAATCAAGCAATTATTGCTTCTTTTTGGCTTTGCTATTGCTGTCACGTTTCCAGTGTTCTTTTTTGCTCATGAAAGCTACATTAGCTCAGGTGCGACCAGACCTGGTTATAACTATGCAAAGCTGTGGCACGAACAAGTTCCTGTTCCTCATTTGCTTATTGGAGATGAGGTGAGGGGTTTTTAAAGAGGGCTGGCTTATTCATGGCTTGACAAAATACTTGAAAGAGGTTCCAAAGGCCTGATAAAGTTTCAAACTACAGTACTCAAAAGCTTTTATGACTTGACTTTGAGGAAGGGGTGGAAGGGGGAGGGGGGGGGGTTATGCTTTACTATGTTATAGTTATGTAAATTCATTTTCAGCGCTCATTGGCCCAAAGAATCAACTGCAACTATACTGGAGCTGTGGTGCTGTGTTCCTATATTATTTTTGCCATTTTGGCGATAAAAACTGTCAAAGTTTTGAAGATAAATGACAATCGTTTGGCCGAAAAAACTAAAGCATTGCAACGACAATTGACATACTATTTGTTACTGCAGGTAATGCATGTTTTACACTCAAAAATTTTGACTTTTGTTTCAAGTAAAGGCCGTTAAAAAAGTCTTGTCGTAATTTTACATTTTTTTGCACGGTAAAAAACGACGAAACTTTTTTTATACATCAAATGCTCAAAAATAATTAGAAATCCAAATGAAACTTTTCAAATTGTTACCTAAAAATCAAAAAAAAATCTAGTTTTACATTTTTACATACTGTAACTTTTTCAGGCCTTCCTACCATGCATAATAGTAATATGCCCAGTAATCTTTGTAGTAGTAAAACTAGTTTTACATCAAGATGCGGACAATGCAGCTATATTGATAAACGTTTTTATGGCCTGGATTCCGGTTTGCAACCCACTAATGACAATTTGTGTTATGACACCGTATCGAAATGGCATCGTAACACTGGTTGGAAAGAAAAAGATTACAGTGTACAATACTTCGTATATTACTAGTAATGCTTGATTTTTGTATATTTTTTTTTGTTTTTTTTTAAATAAATTTTTACTTTGAAAAAAAAATTTTTAATTTGAAAAAAAAGAAATTTACTTTTTAATTAAATTGAACCAAAAGTAGCGGGGCAATTCTCATTTAATTTTCAATTAAAAAATGTCCCGCTACTTTTGGTTCAACCTATTATTTTTATTACAGTAGTTCTGCATAACGAAGAACCCAGAAATTTAAAAATTTTTTGATACGCTAGAGTTTGTTATACAGGAGTTGCATGGTGTAAATTTTCTCCCTCTTTCCTCATTCTGCACACCGCAAAAAAAATTTAACAAAAGCGTTCCTAGTGCCCTCCCCGACCAAAGTTATCTGTCTAGCTTACAGTCAAATGTATAATCTCTACCTAGAACCAGGAAGTTGTTTTAGTATTTGTCATTAATTTCGGTTTATTAATTATAGTTATGATAAAACAATGCTTCATCTAATGTTATGGTATTAGCGGAAAGTCAGCTAATCACCCCACCCAAAAACATTTCTTTGAACGAAACGGTTGAACGTTTCCTCCCTTACCTGTAAGCTAAAAAACTTTTTTTGAAATTGATTTTTTTTTATTTTTTAACACTAACAAGGAAAGTACCCGACATGCCCCGCTCTGATTGAATTCAAACTTTTTATATAGAAAAAGTATGTAAATATAAGACCTTCAACAAAGTAGTATATCGCGAATCTCGAGATAATCGAGATCAAAAAATTACATTTTGAATTTTCCGTCAAATTGACATTGTGTTTCAAGCTTATAAATTTGTCGTTTTTCGACTTTTAAGAAGTTTCCTTGATATACTAGTAGAATACCTTTAAATGAAGCTACATTTTTAAATTTGTAAGCGTAGCTTACCTGGAAAGTCGAAAAAAGTGCTTGAAACACAACGCCAAATTTGCCAAATTGGCGAGAAACCAAAATAATTCAAATTTGAAACTCAAAAGCGCGAGCTAAAATTATCTATATGTACTCTTGGTAGTACAAGGAATTTATACATATATTAGGTGCCGACATAAAGAACCCGCCATACTTTTTCTGTAATTTCTTGTAAAAAATGGTGGGTTCTTTATGTCAACACCTAATATTATCAATTTTAAAGAAGTAAATTGTATGACGTACTGAGCTGATTCTAAGCGGGGCAGGTAGGGTACTTTTCCTGTAAGATATACTGTAATATAACGATCTAACAGTAAAATATCAATTTACTGTAAGATAGTGAATTACTGTTGTTGTTGTTATTTTTAACCTTTAGGTATGACTTCTTAAGAGTTTTATTTTTTCATTACGTTCAAGTTTGAACGAATTTGTACAATATTATGTTTACATTTCTTTGTTTTTACCTAATTATATTCATGTTTCTGACTACTACTTGGTGTTTATATGTATACTAGATTTGGAGGATTGGCACAATAAACATCTTGAAAGTTTGGTATAAAACAGTATTACATAGTAAAACCACAGTAATATATTCTTAACTACCTTTATAATATCATACCTATCACAACACTAAAGGAGTGATCGTTTTTTTTCTTTGGGTTGTCGTGATTAATATGTCCATTACCTTACAATAACTCATGTTTATGACCAGTTAAAGACGATCAATGTCAACCATGCATTACCATCAGACAGATGACAATCCTTATGCTTGGAATTTTGAGCAAAGCAAAGAAACAGTAGTAGAATATGATGAACACGCAGTGGCTGCTTTACTATCGCATATTAACTTATATATTGCATTTATCTTTGCAATGGTTATCAATTCAACTTTGTTTTACTTGATACTGAAGCAAACACCATCTCATATGAAACAGTACAAAGTGATGTTACTCCCAGGCGTATTTTGTGATACTGTTTATGCTGTATTTCTTGTTTTGGCATTGTTTGTGAGTGTTTTAAAAAATTTTCTTGTAATTATTTTTAAATTAAAAAAAAATTTTTTTGAGTTTTACTTTACAGTATAATATAGATGTACATAATGTGTTTAGGAAGTCAAAACTAACGATGGAGTTATAATGACTGTAATGGCTGGCGTTGCTGATAACCTTTCATTCCAAGTTCGAGTATGCATCTTATCATTTTTTGGGTTTTTGACATTACTTATAACTGCCATATTGCCTGCTCAAACTTACTACAGATATTACTGTATTACCAGGTAAGCAATTAATTCTAACACGAGCTTTGAACATTAGTTCTAGCCTTAGCCTAGCTGTAGCTCTAGCTGTAGCTGTAGCTGTAGCTGTAGCTGTAGCTGTAGCTCTAGCTCTAGCTCCAGTCTAGCCCTACCACAGTTCTATATAAAACTTCCAGTAACTCTTTCTAATTTCAGACCAAATCCAATGACAATAAAGCAAACGCTATGTCTTTATGGTTTTACAATTGCTATCACATTTCCAGTGTTCTTTTTTGCTCGTGAAAGTTACAGTAATTCAGGACGCTCTAGACCAGGCTATAACTATGCCAAGTTGTGGTACGATCAAGTACCTGTACCGAATTTGCTTATTGGAGATGAGGTAGGGGCTCTTTACAGTTTTCCTTTCTTTTTTTTTCATTATTATCACTCCCCCCCCTTCGGCTTTAAAAACTTTTGTTCTCCTCTTCCTTTTCCCCCACCTTATACGAACCACCCGTCCAGTACTGCGTACAACAAAATATTAATAATATATTTCCAGCACTACTTATACCAACAAATAAACTGCAACTATACGGGATCTATTATGCTGAGTTCCTATTTTATTTTTGCTATTTTGGCTGTGAAAACTGTCAGAGTACTAAAGTTAAACGGCAATAATCTAGCAGAAAAAACCAAAGCGCTACAACGACAGTTGACATATTATCTGTTATTACAGGTAACACGATTTTACTTTAAAAGATTAACTTTTTTAAAAACCGTAAAGTCCTGTCGTATTTTTACATTGTGTTGCAGGTTAAAAAACGACAAAACTTTTTTTGTCAGTAAAATACGTCAAAACCTCAAAAATAATTAGAAAGTCAAATCAAAATGTTCAAATTGTTACCTAAAATTCAAAAAAAGTCATGGTTTATATTATATATACAGTTTCAATTTCAGGCCTTCCTACCATGTGTAATAGTAATATGCCCTGTAATCTTCGTTGTAGTAAAACTATTTTTACATGAAAATACTGAAAGTGCCACTATATTAACCAGCGTTTTCATTGCTTGGATTCCAGTTTGCAATCCACTAATGACAATTTGTGTGATGACACCGTATCGAAATGGCATTTTGGCATTGTTCAGCAAGAAAAAAGTTGCAGTTTACAGTACTTCTTATGTTACCAGTAATGCTTAATTTGTGTAATTTTTTAAAAATAAATTTCAAATTTTGAAAAACTGTTACAAAGGTCATACGGATTACTGAAGTGCGTACGTGCTTATCCATGAGTGCACTATTATATTATACACATGTTACACTCAATAGACAACACAATTAAAAAGCAACAATTTAATGATAAAAAAGATTTAAAAAGGTTCTTTGACGTAACTTTATACCTAAATTGTTACTTTTCAAATGCAACTATATATGATATAACGTGTAATTTTAACGCATTGTGCTCCACTCAACGCTACTTTTACTCTAGTAAAGTTAAAATTAAAAATTTTAGTCCGTATAAACCTAAAGTTTACAAAGCGTAAGCTAGCTAAGTCTCAATATACTGAGTCTAAGCCAGACTACCAACCCTAACCTACTAAACTTAAACCTAGTAAGCCTAAGTTTACAAAGTCTAAACATACCAAGTGTAAGCCTAATGAGCCTAAGATTACTAAGCCTAAGCTTATTAAACCTAAGCCTACTAAGTCTAAGCTTACTAAGCCTAAGACTAATAAGTCTATATCTACTAAGTTTTAGCTTGGTAAGCCTACTAAGCTTAAGCCTAGTAAGCTTAAGTTTATATCTGCTGCGTAATTCTAAGAAAACTATCCTAGTAAACGTTCGCTTACTAACTTTTAACTAACCTAGCACTTTAAAGACTACTTGTACTTATTCAACATTGCTTGTATCATTGTGCATCGGTGTATCATATTAATGTGACAATTTAAAAAAACTGCTTTTTGAAAATATTGTAAATTCAAATCCACGTCATAATTTAATAACTTAATCGTACAATTGTAAGACCAATTCGTAATAATACGATAGCTTTACTATAAATAAAATGTAACTTCTAAACCTAATAGTTATCTTCAAAACTGTATACGATGTATCCAAAGACACAAGCTATATGTTCATATTTACCAAATCTATGTGAACTAATTGTACGTTTTAGAAAAAGTGATTTCTTGCACTGTATACAATGTTATAGTAGGTGTTATATATAGAAGTGTGTTAACTCAAAAACGTTTCAAATTTAAACGATAATTGCTAGGTGGGAAGAAGGAGGGGGAGGAGCTTTTTTCAAATTGTAACGTTAAAAATGTTGTAATTATTTATATCAAAGCTTATTGAGCCTCGAACTACCAAGGTCTTGCCTTTTAAGCAGACTAAACCTAAGGTTACTAATCATATGTTTACTAACACTAAGGTTACTAAGCCCACGTCTACCCTAAATATAAGAGTACCAATACACAGTCTTTTGAACCTAAGCCTAAGTCTTTTAAACTTAAATTTACTAAATTTTATGTATATTAAGCATAGTTACGTCTAGTAATTATAGTCTTGCTAAACCTAAGCCAACTAAGCCTAAACTGTTTAGCTTCTTTACTATGCCTTAACCTACTAAGTCTAATTCTACTGAACCTAAGCCTACTTATCCCAGATTTGTCAGGCCTAAGCATACTAAACTTAAGCCTACTATCTTTAAGCTTACTAAGTCTAAACGTACGAAGTATAAGCATACCAAATATAATTAGCTTCCGTTGTAGACATATTTAAGAGATATCAAACTATGAGAGAAAAAGTGGCCCAGGCAGGAGTCAAACCCTGCATCTTTCCTTTACCGGACGAATGCTCTACCTATTAAGCTACCGGGGCTCCTTCTCTCAAAGCCTTAATCTTGATCAGTTCTTATCCATCTCACTTTATTTTTATGTTATTTTTATATCCAAATATCTAATCGAATATCCGACACCGTCTAAACATACTAAACCTAAGTTTACTAACCGTGTTTGCTCAAGCCCTAAAACATGAATATAACTTTTAAATTTCTTAAACCAGCTAAAATAATACCCTTTTAGAGTGGAAACCATTCGATATAAGCAACGTCGAAATGCATCTGAAGCCAACAATTGAAAATCCATTTGCGTGGGACTTCCCCATAAATGGATCGTTTCCAGAAGCTCCTTGCGACGAGCTGGGCATTGTGTCAGCTCTTTTTCGGATCAACCATCTTTGCTGTAGCATGGTTGGTGGTATGACTACTGTGACTCTGATGTCATGTGTTATTAACTGTACGAATGGGGTTTTGAAGCCGTTTAGAAAGATGTTGTTTATGTGTGCTATCACTGAGTTGTCGTTTTGGATTGTGGATTCATTGACTCAGATTGTAAGGTTTTTTGGTGGGCATGCGTATGGAAGGAGGGGGAGAACAAGAAATTTTAAAAAATTTTGGTTATGGCAAATTTTGTTTAAAAAGATAGGTAAAGATTAAGAAAAATTTTTTTGAGGGAAAGGTAAAAAATGGATTTTAAAAGAAGGGGTGCTTTTAAATTTTTTTTAAAGGAACAGGGTCAAAAACATTTCTTAGTACTATTAAATGCTATTTTCTTCAAGCATAGTCATAGTACGTTACTTCTTTTACAGAAAGGAAAACAGTACGAAGACATAGTACTGATTAAAGTTGAAGGACCATTGCACTACTTGAGAAGACCATTTCACGTTATTGGAACAGCGTTATACGTCTTCACGGCTTGTTTATCCATGACCGTCTTACCAGCTATGGCTTATTTTAGATACTATGCGTTGACACGGTAAGTTTAATACTTAAAACTAAGTTTTTTTTAAAATTTAAAAAACAAAAATTTTTTTTTTACCATTTGTCAGGTGAAAGTTCTATTTTTTATATTATAATATCAGTCAAATTTTGTACTAAAATCAATTTTTAGTCCTGCACCTTTGAGCACAGAAAGAACGATATTATTGTTTCTGACGTCAGTTGTGTTTGCATTGCCTGCTGGTATATCAGCATACTTGAGTTATGATCGGTCGGCTGAAGTTGAGCCTGGATTCAATTTTGGGACTCTTTGGTACAGAGAGTTCCCGTTACCACCAATTTTAATTGGTCATACGGTATGTTTTATTTTATATATTTTATACATCTATAGACTAAGTTGCTAGGCTTGAGTTTTCTAAGCTAACTTATTAAATTTAAGCCCAAGTCTATAAGCTTACTAGGCCTCAGATTATTAAAGCCAATCATATTAGGTTTATGATTAATAAGCTCAGGACTACTAATTCTAAGCCTACTAAGCCTAAGCGTACTGAGCCTAAGCTTAATAAGTCTAATCTTACTAAGCATAAACCCTAGGTCTAAGTCTACTACGCATAAACGCTACTAAATCTAAGCCTACTAAACTTAAGAGTACTAAGCCTAAGTCTAACATATTTAAGCCTACTAACAAGGGCGATTTAAGTCACCTCCTTTGTAAGCCTTAGCCTACTAGGGTTAAGCCAACGATTTCTCAAGCTGTTACGTCTCAGCTTACTAAGCCTAAACACACAAAGCCTAACAAGAGAAGGTACTTTAATCGCAGATGGACTTTGAGATGAGACCTATATATTCTGAAAGCTGAATTCACAGGGAGTACGGATCTGAAAACCGTTTTTCTGTGCGGCTCTTAGTTTTTGAGAAAATCGTCTTTAAAATATGGCAAGCATTTTGGCGAACCGAGCGCGCCGAAAAGAATCACGCAATTAATTCAAAGAAAACAAGTAGCAGGTTGCCCGAGTGGTGAGTCAGTTTTCTTTCGGATGTCGGTGGGGGAGTTCGACCCCGGCCTTGTGCAACACTTTTACAGCGGCTTAAAAGATACATTTTGTATGCAAATATGTAAAAAAATTAATTTTTTTTATTTTATTCTTTTGTAATTTTTTTCAATAAAGCAACTCTTTTTGCGCCTTCAAAATAAGGAAAATTGTTTTGATTTTTATAATAACAAAAGTTTGGCTCATACCCATGCAATACCCATACCCATGCCAAACACTTGCCATAGCCATGTCATACTTGTACCCATGCCATACCCTTGCCATGCCCATGTCATACTCATACCATACCCAAACCCATACCCAGAGTATGACATGGGTATGGCAAGGGTATGGCAATGGTATGGCAAGGGTTTGGCATGGGTATGGGATGTGCGAAAACTGCTTTAAAACGGGAGGGCCGGAGCCCCGGGCCAAACTTTTGTTATTATAAAAACCAAAACAGTTTTCCTTATTTTGAAAGCGCAAAAAGAGTTGCTTTATTGAAAAAAATTACAAAAAAATAAAATAAAAAAAATTAATTTTTTTACACATTTGCATACAAAATGTATCTTTTAAGCCGCTGTAAAAGTGTTGCACAAGGCCGGGGTCGAACTCCCCCACCGACATCCGAAAGAAAACTGACTCACCACTCGGGCAACCTGCTACTTGTTTTCTTTGAATTAATTGCGTGATTCTTTTCGGCGCGCTCGGTTCGCCAAAATTCTTGCCATATTTTAAAGACGATTTTCTCAAAAACTAAGAGTCGCACAGAAAAACGGTTTTCAGATCCGTACTCCCTGTGAATTCAGCTTTCAGAATATATAGGTCTCATCTCAAAGTCCATCTGCGGTTAAAGTATCTTCCCTTGTAAGCTTATTACGCTAAAACTTACGGAGCCTAACTTTACTTACAGAGCCCAACTTTACTAAATCTATGCCTACAAAACTAACGTCTTCAAAGCTTAACTTTACTAACCTTAACCTTACTAAGCCTACTGACCTAATTTTTTTTAAATTTGAATTGCCGGAAAAGTACAAAATTATTTTTGTACGACCACCTAGATAGCGTACTGTGATTTTTGTGAAAAAAAACCCAATAATTTTGCACTTATATGGCATATGTTTAACTTATTTTTAATAATTTTGACTTTTGAATCGTAATCATCTTAACTATGTAAAGCTAAGTAATCGTTTGTACTTTTAAAACTTTAATCAACATTTTGACTTTCAAACCTTAGTACAGTAGTGATTATCATATGTATCATGTATTATATTATAATAATATTTTATGCTAAAAGTATTATTGGTTTGTTCTTGTTTAAAAAAAACTACTAGTTTAGTACTATTAGGCGTCGACATAAAGAACCCGCCACTTTTTACAGGAAATTACAGGAAAAACATGGCGGGGTCTTTATGTCGGCACCTAATAGTACTCGATGCTTGGTATCAAATACTAAAGTAGTATTAAAAAGGACTAAATTAGTATAGTAGTGCCAACGTACTATGAAAAAACCGTATTTTAGAAATCGTACTATCAGAAAACGTACTTTATTACAGCGGCGGTTTTATTTGTGTTATCGTACATTATTGTGATTATACTCGGCTTTTTGACTATGTGGGCATTGAAAAGACAAAACCATTTGTATACAGACAAGACAAAGCGATTACAGAAGCAGATGAGCATGTATTTACTGTGTCAGGTAAGAAATACTTAGAATAGCACTTATACTTGGCATGCTTTAACAGTAATTGCTTACGCTATAACGTAGAGCGCATACAATAAACAAAAAAATTTTAAATTTACCCTATCCTACTCCACTTTACTCTATCCTACTCCACCCTACCCTACCCTACCCTACCCTACCCTACCCTACCCTACCCCACCCCTACCCTACCCTACCCTACCCTACCCTACCCTACCCTACCCTACCCTACCCTACCCCACCCTACCCTACCCTACCCTACCCTACCCTACCCTACCCTACCCCACCCTACCCTACCCTACCCTACCCTACCCTACTTTCTCCCTCCTTGCCTTGCTCTATCACTACCCTAGTCCTAACTTATCTTCTACCGTAGACGGTGAGTAGATTTGCACTTGCTTTGCAGTAAAAACCTTAGTAGTTCGTAAATCTTCGTATAAAAAAGTTATTGTACTATTATCAGGAAATAAAAATAACTTTACTATCGTACAATTATAGCTTAACTATACAGTAATCTTTTGCATAATCTTACAGGCGTTAATTATTTTGGTAATTTCCGTAATACCGGTCATGCTAGTTATAATACCGTCGTTCCTTGAATGGAACACTGGTATCCTCTTAGGAGTTGGACTACTGTTCCTCGGCTGGCTACCTGTCTGTAACGCTATGACGACGATTATTGTCATTGTGCCGTTTCGGAAGGCAGTATGGAGTATGACCAAGCATCGCAAAGTCAAAACACACAATTTTTCAACTTCTGTGGAGAAATGACGTATTTCGAGGATTTTTTTTAACTTTATACTTTTTTTTTAATATTTTGATCTTTTTTTGTACTTTAAATTTCTTATTTAATAAACTTTTTAAGGTAAGATTGACTTTACAATATCATAAAACTTAAATTTTGGTTTTTGCAAAAAAAGTTCTTGCCGTTTTATGGTTTTCAAAGAAAGTTCTTGCCGTTTTATGTTTTGTAAAGAAAGTTCTTGCCTTTTTAGTTTTTGTAAAGAAAATTCTATTTTAAAAAAATCGTCGTATAACATGTCCTCTGCAGCCTGCAGACCCTTAACACTACAGTAGATACACTCATCAAGTGCAACATTCGTCCGTTTGTGAACTATTAAGTCAAGTAGGTTAATCTGCGTAACACTCCCTTCGAGAGTAGTCTGTGCTACGCTAGCACTAAGACTGTGATATACGATACGGCAGACACGTTGTTAATTACGAATATAATGAGGAGTTGTAAATACGCTACTAATCGTCGTAACCTTAAAAACAGTATAAATTAGACAACATATAGTATTGTCGTTGCAGTATACTATACTTTTTATTGCATACTCAAGTTATTTATATTGTCTGGCTTAAGCACTAACTAAGAAATCATCGTCATTACTTGGGTGGGTCATTATCATTACCTAAGTAAGTCGTCAATGTTACATAACCTAGTCATCTTACTTAAGTCAGTCAAGAAAGGCTGAATAGGGGGAGGAAGGCTTTGCAGGTTTTGGCTTAATAAGGTTATGCTTGGTGAGTTTAGGCTTAGCTGAGACGTAGCAGGCTTAGAAAGGGTAGGCTTAAGGCTCGTAGGCTTAGGCTTAGTTGGATTAGGTTTAGTTGGCTTAGTAGGCTTACGTTTAGTAGGCTTTGGCTTAGCATGAACTTTCTTTACAAGATAAAAAATGGCAAGAACTTTCTTTACAAATCGCAAAGTAGCAACAAATTTCTTTACAGTACAGAAAATGGCAAGAATTTTCTTTACAAAACAAAAAATACCACAAACTTTCTTTACAAAACTAAAAAATATCCTATATATGATTTTCATTACAGTACACCCAAAATGGAATTACACAAACAACCCTACTACAAGAATCCGTATGTTTGGGACTTTCCAATCAATGGTGAATATCCGACTGAGCCTTATGATGAGCTAGGGTATGTTTCTACTATATTCAGGGTGAATTATATTATATGTAGTGTTACTGGAGGAGTTGTGACTACTACATTGTTACTTTGTATTAGCTATTGCACTACGGGAGTACTGAAACCTTACAAAAAGATGTTGTACATGTGTGCTATCACTGATTTTACGTTTTGGCTGGTTGATACGTTTACTGAGGTTGTAAGTTTGTTAAATAATGTAGTGTTTTGTTTTTAAAAGTGTATATAAACTACAGTTTTAGCAAAAAAAAAACTGAAGTTCTACGTTTTAAAAAGTGATGGCGTCAATTTATATTGATATCAATAATAAAAAAAGACAAAACTTTTTTTTTCTCCATTTCGAATTAAAAAATTTTTTAAAAAATAAAAAAAAAATTGTAAAGATATTTTTATTGTTTTAACGAAAATTAAAAAATTTAGAAAGGAAAACAGTACGAAAATATTATCCTTGCCAAGATGGAAGGTCCTGTCAAGTACTTCTCACGATGGGTGCACGTAACTGGTGTAGCAGCCTATGTGACAACAGCGTGCTTATCCATGACAGTTCTTCCGGCCCAAGCGTTTTTTAGGTATTACTACATGACAAGGTCAGTGCAAAGTTTTTCATTGTTACAAATGCCAGATTTGATTACGGTATTCTAAAAGCAATCTGTAAAACTTTCGAAGTTTTTTAAAAATTTTTCAAATTTTTTACTTTTTCTATACTACGCCGCCACTTAAAAAGAAATTTTAAATAAGTTCAGCATGACCCTCCCCCCCCTCTTAGTTACTCTACTTTGTAAAAGTAAAATGTTTTAATTTTTATTTTTTTCTTATCCTTTCCCCCACCCTCTCTTCGTTCCGATGTTAATGCTACACTATATAGCACCAGTGTTTCGCCTGGACCGTCCGGCAACTATTTTTTCAAGTCCGGTTTGGCTATTTTTCAGGTCCTGTTTGGCTATTTTTCAGGTCCGGTTTGGCTATTTTTTAGGTCCGGTCCGGTCTGACATTTTTTTTCAAATTGGTCCGTTTGGGCCGGACCTTGGTTCGGACCGGACGGTCCAGGCAAAACACTATAGAGCACTATCGAAAAAGAAGATACCAGAGTGTTATATAGAAAATCTAGTTAAATTAAGAAAATATTCCAGATCTCGTCCGTTAAGCACCGCCAAAACGGTAGCCTTATTTATACTAGCACTAATTTGTGCTTTAATGCCTGGCTCTGCTTCATGGTTCAGTTACGACAGGTCACCGGAAGTTAACCCTGGCTTTAACTACGGCAAATTGTGGTACCGAGAAGTTCCTTTACCTATTTTGATGATTGGGGATACGGTAAGCCCTTTTCTTACAGTAGACTTGTTCTTGCTTCACCCTAGTTTTTGCCTGGCTTTTACTGTAATTTTATCTTAAGCCTTGCTCTAGTGGCATTAGGTGCCGACATAAAGAACCCGCCATACTTTTCCTGTAATTCGCCGTAAAAAATGGCGGGTTCTTTATGTCGGCACCCAATATATTATGTTTTTTCAGAACTCTTTCTACCAGAAGGTTTACTTTGGATCTACGGCTGTGCTTTTTACCATTGCATATTTTTTGCTGATTATGTTTAGTTATTATACGTCGGAATCTATGAAGGTTCAGCATCATACCTACACAGCCAAAACCAAACGAGTCCAAAAGCAAATGAATGCTTTTTTGTTGTGTCAAGTGAGTATAATCTTATCATTTAAACTTGGCTAGTAAGCTATTTATTTATTTACTTTACAAGCGTCTACAATTACAATTCGGGAGATATAGATTAGATTAGTAGTTTGATGCCGTAAATTGTAACGTACTGTGCTGATGTGCAAGGATGTTCAAGGTTCAGATGAAGATTAACGGAGCTATCCTTCGTGTAGGCCAAGTATGGATGTGCCTAGTCCCCGTGCACTCAGCACTACGCATTCCTCAAGGCGCCTGGGTTAGGCGGTGCGCGGGGTCGAACCAAGGTCCTTCCGAATAGCGAGCGGCGCCGCAGCCACTGCGCTACCAACGCAAATACCTTTATTAAGAAATTTGGCTAGTAAGCTAGCTAAACCTAAAGTATCTTCATTTATGCTCAAATTAAAAATTGTAAAAAAATTTAAATATCAAACTTTTTTTAATTTTTAAAAATAAAAAACGAACTTCCAGGCAGTGATAATTCTCTTCATATCAGTAGTACCGGTACTGCTTGTAGTAATCCCATCATTTTTTAAATTGAATACTGGCATTCTCTTGGGCATTGGACTACTAACCCTCGCTTGGCTACCAGTTTGTAATGCAATTTCAACGCTAATTATCATCGTACCTTTTCGACAAGTTGTTTGGAGAGTCGTCACTAATAGTCATTCTAAAATTTACAACTTTTCTTCAACTAACAATAGCGATGCTTGATTTACTGTAAAGTCTTTTCATAATACTTACTTTTGTTTTTTTAAAGTCTTTTAAATGTAATATATGCTTTTTATCACTTATTTTTAGAATATAAAAATTGGTAATGTCAAATTAATTCTAACAATTATAAATACAAATAATAAAACTACTGTAACTTCGACCAATCAAATATTATCCACAAAGTAAATATACAGTTTAACAGCACAGTTGGGAGTACAAACAGATAATCTTCTGGTTAAATTACAATTAAAAATATTAAAATAACTATCACAAATTATACAGCAAAAGAGTAATGTCATCAATTTAAAAAGTGACAGATCGTATGGCGTACTATACAGTACTAAGATCAATATACGTACTATTTGTATATGTGCAAAAACGTAACCTGCTTCTGCAGAAACGTCAAAGAATAGAGTAAGAATTTGGTGAAAGCCGTCAGAGCAATCCATTGTAGCTGTGCCTAATTAGGCCCCATCCAGATGATCCTGTTCCTTAAGATACCGAGTTGTAATGAGGTGCTCCTCAAAGCTGCAGGCCATAATCGGAATTTCATGTAGACTAAACAAGCAATTTGCCATAGTTCCCGTGCACTTGCACTACCCATTCATTTGTTTTTAAATTACAAAATTCACCCTACTCGAGCAGAGCTGTCAGTCAAACTTTAGTCCGACGATTTATTCATCAGGTCACAACCGACTGAGCCACAACCTGTTGTTGGTGCTAAATTTTCAAACCTATTTTTTCAATTTTTACTATTTAAAACTTTTACGCTATCACAACAAATGAAGGCTTCTTGGACTAACACCTCCCAATTCAGATGTAACTATATTCGCACCGTGTTTACCTCAGTATAAAGCCCTTGAGAGATAAGTGGATAAAATTAAAATTCGAAAAATCTTGAATTTAAATCATTCAAAAATTTTATAAAAAAAATTTATGACAAGTAGTAAAACGATAATATTGTGGTCGTATTTAAATATCAAGTGCCGACATAAAAAATCCGCCATTTTTTACATGAAATTACAGGAAAAGTATGGCGGGTTCCTTATGTCGGCACGTAATAATAATGCATTATAACATTTTAATGTCGCACGCTGGGCCGAACGGGCACTTTTGGCCTGGAGGCAGGAGCTCTACCTTTGTCGATTGTTGACAAAAATTTTTTTTTGAAAAATTCACAGGCGAAGCGACGTTTTACTTTTTTTCATTAATTTTTTTTTTGGGGGAGGGGGGGGGGTGGCGGTATCCTCTCCTTCTCTCCCCCCCCCCCCCCCTTCCCTCGCGCCCGGTCCTGATCGCAAGATTTATTAAATCCGTGTACTACTGGAATAGGCAGTAGTACCCTGAATTTGATTTGATTCGCTTCTCATGAAGTTGGTCATTTTCAGAATCTTTCTTCGGAATGGTGCTATTATGATGAGTGTTGATACAGCATTGCAGACTGGTAACCAGCCTAGCGACATCATCGCCATTGTCAACGATATTCCACTGTTTAACTTTAGCATGATTGGCATTATGACAATCATTGTTGGTATGAAATATATGATCAAGATTGTCAGTGCCTTAAATTAAAAAAAAAGGTAATTTAGGTTTTAATCAGTAGGCTTAGGCTTAGTAAGCACTTTGTAGGCTTAGGCTTGGTAATCAATTTGTAGCCTTAGGCTTAGTAAGCACTTGTAGGCTTGGGCTTACTAGGCTTAGGCTTAGTAGCCTTAGGCTTACCAAGCACTTTGTAGGCTTGGGCTTACTAGGCTTAGGCTTAGTAGGCTTAAGCTTAACAAGCACTTTGTAGGCTTGGGCTTACTAGGCTTAGGCTTAGTAGGCTTAAGCTTAACAAGCACTTTGTAGGCTTGGGCTTACTAGGCTTAGGCTTAGTAGGCTTAAGCTTAACAAGCACTTTGTAGGCTTGGGCTTACTAGGCTTAGGCTTAGTAGGCTTAAGCTTAACAAGGACTTTGTAGGCTTGGGCTTACTAGGCTTAGGCTTAGTAGGCTTAAGCTTAACAAGCACTTTGTAGGCTTGGGCTTACTAGGCTTAGGCTTAGTAGACTTAGGCTTAACAAGCACTTTGTAGGCTTGGGCTTACTAGGCTTACGCTTAATAGGCTTAGGCTTAACAAGCGCTTTGTAGGCTTGGGCTTACTAGGCTTAGGCTTAGTAGACTTAGGATTATAATAAAATTTAAAACTTACTTGACAAAATAAAAACGAGCTCATTTGTTTGTGGACTTTTTTTTGTCTGGTTAGTGTATTTGTGATAGTGTTCTTGCATCTTCTTCATCGTGAAATAACTGAACAATACCAACAAGAAGTAAGATATCACAAAATTTACAACAGTCACTCCAAAATACATTATTGGGTATATTGACTTCTGAAAGTAGTTACTGATAGACTTAAAATTAAATTTACTTATTTTTAAAGTAAACTACAAAAAAATATTATTATACAGTTGTCTCTCTATATAGTGAACCATTTGTACAAGCAACTTTCCTTATAGTGAACAAGAAATCTGGCTCGCCAAGTCAATTTGCACAAAAAAGCCTCTTCGTAAAGCCAACACTCCTTATGGTAAACACAAAATGTCGGTCCCTTCGGGTTGCTTATATAGGGAGAGTACTGTACTTTGTTTTACACTCTCTTACCATATTGCCAACTAGCAAAGTTGGTAAAGGATACTCCTGAAACCAAACTGTTCCGTAGTTAAAACCAGGGTTCACGTCAGCGGACCGGTCGAATGTAAACCAAGCAAAGGTTCCTGGTATCAAGGCACTTGTGAAAGATATCGAAAAAAGGCAAATAGTTTTTAGAGTACTTAACGGTTCGGAGCTAAAATTAAAATGTTTTAAGTTTTTTAAATTTATACAGTAAATAAGTTCAGGTTGGAGTGGGGGTTGAAGGTTTTATTGGGTGGGGTCTTCTCAAGTTTCAAAGGTAATAAAAACAAGCACGAAAAAAATGTTTAAGAAGCTTACTGTTTCAAAGAATAGTATCTGAAAAAAGCTTGTGCTGGCAGAACGGTCATTGATAAATTCACTCCAGTCACGTGTGCCGCCACACCATAAATATGAAAGGATCTTGAAAGAAAAGAAGCTGGTCCTTCTAGTTTCACAAGTAGAACTTCGTTGCGTTGTTTTAGTTTCTGACACATAAATTTTATAGTCATTCTATGTCTACTGAGCCTAAGTCTACTAAACCTAAGCATACTAAGCCCGAACACTGCTGAGCCTAAGTCTACGTCCACTAAACCCAAGCTTATTAAGTCCAAGTCCTGAGAGAAAAACTTTATACTTTTTATAAAATTAACTTACAATTTCAACCAACATATCCACAAACCAAAACAAAAAATCAGTAATGGAGCACATGTACAACATCTTCTTGTAAGGTTTCATAAACACAGGCAAGTGAAAAGTAATAAAAAATAGCAAAGTAACCGTAGTAACACCACCAACAACGTTAAGTGCAGCATAACAAATTTTAAGAAAGGTTGATATGACTCCGAGCTCATCGTATGGTACTTGGGGGTAAGTACCATTAATAGGAAAGTCCCAAGCATATGGGTTTTGAGCCGATGCTGCTGTGTGAAGCTCCATTATTAAAATTGTACGTATACAATAAGTAGACAGTAAGTTATACTCTAGTGAGGTAACAACAACAATCAAATTTAAAAAATTAGACTGTCCTAGTAGAATGGTTGTTGAGTAACAATAAAATAATGGCAGTGATGTACAATATATAAGTAAGGCAATTTCATCCCGTGCGGAAGGACTTAAAATTATAGCACCAGTGCTCAAATCGTGACATATCGTAATTGATGTAAGATGTGACATATTATTTTAAATTGTTCTTGGTACCAAAGCAAATAATGTTTGAACAGCAATTAAAGTATTAGACGAATTAACATGTTAATACGCTTCTTATGTTTTTAAAAACATATGTAGACGGCGTCAATGCAACAAAAGCCAACACCTTATCCTACCATACACTACCTATTCAGTGTCACATCGCCCGACTTTACTCAGAACTCCAACTTTTTTTTAAATTTATACCTCCACATAGGGCCGGGCGCGAGAGAGGGGGACGGGAGGAGGGAGGGGGTACCCTCCCCCCCCCCCCCCCAAAAAAAAATTTTTTTTGAAAAAAAGTTGAACGTGATCCCCCTTGTGGATTTTCGGAAAGAAAATTTCGCAAAAAATCGGCACACCTGCGCCGATTTTTTGGACTCCCAGACCAAAAGTCCCCGCCCGGCCCTGCCTCCACAGCATGCATGCAGTACTTAAAGTATATTTTTAAGTATGTTTTGGTACAAACTTAGAGTGTTATCGCTATAATCATCAAAAATAATTGCGTTTATGGTACATTTTATAAACGTTTTTGCCTACAGCTTGATTTTTCTTGTCTAGACCTGTAAAGAAGCTAGGCTCAACTTTTCGGCCCGGCACAGCCCATTGTCAAATTCCAATACTTGTAAGCTTTATAGGAATCAGTCTTAATAGAGACCTCGTCAAGTTGTTTTTTCTTAACTTATTATTTTATTGTTTATTACTTATATTGACGCCGACTAAATAAATTGTCAAATTCCAAGCTTCTCAAACATAGCTTCATACCTCAAACATAACAAATGAAAAGTTGACGCAAATGAATGGAAGGGAAGTTTTACCACAGACAGCATATATTCCGGGCCCTGTGTACCTTCAGACTATTCCATTTTTTGCCTCAAGGGCTCACTTCCTCAAATGTACAATTTTTGAAACAATAAAACACGTCGAAGCAGAATGCAATCAGTTCCTCAGATCAAAGCTGAAGCCGTGGTACAAGAAAGAGATCAAAGAATTAGCAGAAGGATGGACTTGAAACATCAATGCGAACCGACTATATTTCGGATCATAGACTTTACTACTTTTTGTAAAAATTTTAGTTGAAAAGTAAAGGAAAAGTGATCCGATCCTTTCGGTTCAACCTAATAAATAGCTGAAAAAGCGTTTCGCAGAAGCAATTGTGGCTCCATTGGCAACTCCATTGGCAAATGGCGAGATGAATACCTCGGAGACAGAGATGGAAACATGATTTGATTTTATATTTTTTGATTACTTTTATCTTTTGTCACCAGTTGTAACTTTGGAATGAGGAATAAATGAAATGAAATTGAAATGTCATCTAAACCGGCTGTAAACTTGTCAGTACAACGTAGATTCCAGTCAGTAATCCTCTCATCCTAAATCGTATTACGAAACCAACTCGTACAAACATTAGTACGCAGTCGATACAGTGGAAGTGAAAATATAGTTAATCATAGTACAGGTCTTGATAATTAAGTTTGTTCGTTTCTTAGCGTCACATCTAATTGGCACTGTGTTGAGCTTCCTTGTTGACTCTTCAATTTGGCATTGTATTAAGATAAACAAGAATGTAGTATGCTACAATAAGACCGTCAATCTACGTCGTTGCTTCTTGAAAACTCATTGTATAAGAAGTTGGAGAGGTTTGTTTTGATGTTGCATTCACATCTTAATGATTCTAATTAATTTTAAGTGCTTCGTCGGTTGATGACATTATCTGGCTTATATATATTTCACATCAGTGTCAGTTTTCATTGTTACTCGACGAAGATTTTACTGGACGTACCTTTAGTATAAAATTTTTTTTTTGTTTTTTAAGAGGGGGGGGGGAAAGGGGGACTTTTTATATTTTGTATACTAACAAAAGAGAATATAATCAACGTTTTAAAAAAAATTTAGAGAAGACTGTCGTATTTTACTTTACAGAATAGGGTCGGCCTATTCTTTTCTTGCGGTCATAAAATACTCGCACTGTTAATATAAGCAATATTATAATATAATTTAAAGTGTCAAGTAACTCAACTGCCTAATAAGCTTCAAAAACCAATCATTGTTAACTATGCAGTACCATCAAACAGAAGAAAATCCATACGCGTGGGATATTGAACAACCTAACCTGACTACACTCGAATACGATGAGTTCGCACTTGCTACAATATTGTTGCACATCAACACGTATATTGCATTCATAATAGCTGTAATTGTGAATTCAACCTTGTTTTGTTTGATATTTAAATATACGCCATCTCATATGAAACAGTACAAAATCATGCTGATGCCAAGCGTTGTCATTGACGTTATTTTCACCACCGTGCTGGCTTTGGGATTGTTTGTAGGTTTTGAAAATTTAATTTTTTTTAAATTTAGTTTAAAAATTTTGTAAAATACGTTTATTTTTTAAGATTTTTGTAAAAATTGAATACGTTTAGAAGATAAAGACAACTGATGGTGTAGTAATGATCGCGCTGGAAGGCGTCGCCGCGAACTTTCCATTACAAGTTCGTATATGCTACGTGTCGTTATTTGGAGTTTTGACATTAATTATAACGGCCTTACTGCCCACACAAACATACTACAGATACTACTGCATAACAAGGTAAAACCCACTCTTTTTGGCGGTTTTTTAAACTGCCCCTTCCCCCCCCTTCCCCCCCCTCTTCCCTAGACTCAGTCTTGATCGGGTCTACAACTTTTTGAAAACATAGTAAGTATACGATATAAATAAAATTTAGACCAAATCCAATGACAATCAAACAGACAATGCTATTATACGCCTTTGTCATCGCCGCCACAGTCCCAGTGTTTTATTTCTCTCATGAAAGTTACAGTACTTCTGGTTTGTCGAGGCAGCCATATAACTACGCCACGTTGTGGTACAAACAAGTACCCGCACCCAACTTACTAATCGGAGACGAGGTGAGCAGGTCTTATAGATAGTTGTAGACTGGAATAGCAAAAGCTCTGCCGGTTTTAGGCATAAGGCGTGGGTGAAAAATTGACATTAGCAACCAATTTAAAAATTTTTTAGATATGATCTAAACTTTAACAGAATATAGTTGTTGTATTTTCAGCACTCCTTTTACCAGAACGTCAATTGCAAATTAACTGGAACAGTAATGCTTACGTCCTATGTTATGTTCGCAATTTTGGCTGTAAAAACAGTCAGAGTATTAAAGAAAGAATGTCATAACCTCTCTGAGAAGACAAAAACTCTACAACGACAATTAACTTACTACTTATTGTTGCAGGTAACCATCGTTTTGTACATAACATTGGCTAATACTAGTGCTGGGTGAGAATTGAAGCTTCGTTATAGTATTAGGTGCCGACATAAAGAACCCGCCATTTTTTACAAGAAATTACAGGAATGGCGGAATCTTTATATTGCCACTTATGGCCGGACGCGAGAGGGGGGGGGGAGGGAAAGGGGAAGGAGTACTCCCAGAAAAAAAATTTTCGGAAATATTTGAACGTGTCCCCCCTGCGGAGTTTAAAAAAAAATTTTTCGAAACCAGCCCTCAGACCAAAAGTCTCCGGCCGGTTCTGTCGACATCTTATATATTTGTTTTTACTATTCTGTAAACGTTTTTAAAGTAGAAGCGTATTTTAAATAATACAAACATACTTTCAGGCCTTTTTGCCATGCGTTGTAATAATATTTCCTGTGATATTTATTGTGGTAAAGCTGCTTTTACATCAAGATTCCGACAGCGCTGCCATATTGTCATGCCTTTTGGTAACATGGATTCCGGTTTTTAACCCGGTTATGACAATTTGCGTTATGACACCGTATCGCAATGGCATTGTTTCACTGTTGGGGATGAGAAAAGTAGCAGTACTTAACAATTCGTTTAGTACGACACCTATTTAAAAACCAATTATGGAGAACGTCAGACGCAGGGTTAGTTTCGTTGATCTTTGTCTAAACCTTGAACATACTTGCACATCAGCACAGTACGTTACAAACTACGGTATCATCGACTAATCTAATCTATACCTTTTGAATTGCAAGTGTAGAGGCTTGAAGAATGTAAAGTATTAGAGTGTTCACACAATTCTGCGCCTCCATACCCCACATATTAGTTTTGAGAAGAGACGCAGAATTAAGTGAACAAACTAATAAATAAAACACAAAAAAATTTTTTTGCAAAAAATGCATTAGTGCATCCCTGCAAGACACGATAACAAAGAGTACTTGTTCTTACAAACACAAGAATAAATAAGCATTGTTTACCTCGTTAAATTTCATGGTATCAATAAAGTGAAAAAACGAAACATTTGTGTTATTAAAAGATGTGGTCGTATCTATTTGTTGTTAAAAGGTATGGGTTCGTATTTGTGTTTGTACAAGTTTAGATTCTTGACGCAATATGTCTTGCTTTATAGTATAAAAGGGGGCTTTGGTGTCTGGAGAAATTCGACCGCTTTGGTTCCTATTTTAGGCTAGTTGGTTTGGAGATAACTAGTGTAACATATTTTTACTACTTTGATTAAAGGTTTAAAGATCGTTAACTTTGTAATATATCTTTACTACTCTGCTTAAAATAGCAAATATAGGCTAAACCTATTAAGATACTTTTATAACGTTTTATTGAAACAAGAAATAACAAACATCTAACGTATTTTACAAAGCTTAAGGTTCCATTTACAAAACCTAAGGCTTATAGCTAATAATGGCTTTGTTTAGCCCATACTGCACTATACTATGGATTATTCTTGCCTTACCTTACACTAAAGCATCTTTTCGTATGCCGATCGAACCAGTCGATCCTACGTTAATTGATCCAAGTAAAATTCAAGGCGATGGCGTTGGAATACGATTAAACAACTTTGGTGATGTGGAGTATTACGGTATAATTTTTAAAAATAAAAAAAAACAACAAAATTTTTTTTTAAATTTTTTAAATTTTGCATTAAAAATAATTTTTACAGTACCAAAAGCTCAATTTGAACACAAAAAAAAGTTTTTCAGGTAGAGTAGTAGTAGGAACGCCGTTAAAAAGAATATCGTGTGGTTTTCGACACCGGATCGACCAGATTTTGGTTGATGTCAAGTAAATGTACTGTTAATAAGCAAAACGGTCCTTCCTGTAAAGGAAAATCATTGTACAATAAGAGAGCTTCAAGTACGTACAATTCAATAAGCGGCCGATTCCGTCAGCTGTACGAAATTGGATTTGCTTATGGTGATTACGCTAGAGATGTGGTGGCTGTAAGTTATTTATTTTTATGAGTTATCGTACTGTATTTTACCCTACCCTACAATACCCTACCCTACCGTACCCTACCCTACCCTACCCTACCCTACCCTACCCTACCCTACCCTACTCTACCTTACCCTACCCTACCCTACTCTACCCTACCTTACCTTGCTTTATCTTATCCTATCCTAACGTATACTCTACTTTACCTTGACTTACCTTACTTTATACTACTTTACCCTACGTTATCGTATCTTACTCTATCTTAATTTATTCTAATCTACTGTACGTTTCATCAGGAATTTGATTTTGTCTTATCCATAACCAACTGATCAATAAGGCCCTCTTATTTTTTGTTTTTTTATGTTATAGTATTGTAACTAACTCTCTATTCAATAAGCTGCAGCATAAAGTACAAAGATTTATATTTAAGTAATTGTCACAACAAACGTCCAACATAAAAATGCACTTTTTCAGTTAGGCACCCTCAAATCGCATTCCTTAATAACTCCGAACGTCACCTTTGGAGTAGCCAATGTAATTGACAAAGCCTCTCAAGACGACGTAATTGACGGTGTTATGGGGTTGGGATTTCCAAAGCCTGGCGAGCCTGAATCGCTAATTAATCGAGCAGTCTCTGAAGGCAAATTGGAAAAACCGTTGTATACGGTATGGATGAAAAAGGTCGGCGGAGAGGTGGATCGTCTTGGCGGAGAGATTTTGTTTGGTGATGTGGATACTGTAAATTGTGAAAATACTGCAGATTATACTGCGCTGACTTCGACTGACTATTGGCAATTTGAAGTTAATAATGTCATTGTTAATATCAATGGAAAGAAGAAGGTAGGTTTGGTACTAGCTTAGAGTTAAGGTAGGATTAGAGAGAAGCTAGCTTAGAGCTAGGACAGGTTTACTTAAAGGATATGATAAGATTAGCAAAGCCTTTTAATAAAATTTGTAGATAGTAAGACTAAAGTAAAGTCAATAATGGTAAAGTAAAGATACTATAAATGTATTATAAGTATTATAAGCTGCCGACATAAAGAACCCGCTATACTTTTCCTGTAATTTCATGTAAAAAACGGCGGGTTTTTTATGTCGGCACTTAGTGTAACCAAGATATCATTAAGATACGATATTTTACCACAAATTTTACTAGACTTTTCTAACTTTCAGAGAGTAGCAGCTAAAATAGAGGTTATATCAGATACAGGAACATCAGCTATCGTTATTCCAAAGGTGATGTATCGTCGACTAATGAAGGCGCTAGAACTGGACCCAAAAGTTCCTGGACTGCCATATGTAAAGTGTAATGCTAGATTTGTAATGAGCTTTGAAATCAACGGCAAAACGTACTACTTGAGTGCTCAGGATCTTGTGGTAGGACCTATTTTTATTTTGTTTTAAATTTTTTTTTAATTTAAAAATTTTTTTAATTTTTGAAACTTTAAAATTTTAAAAGTTTTTTTAAATATTTATAATTTCACCCCAGCCATACCTTAAAAATTTAGGTAAGATACTCCGACGGATGTGTCCTCCAATTCGACGTGTCATATATTGAAGGTGATGACAGTTGGGTACTAGGTGACCCATTTATCCGCACCTACTGCCAAATATACGATCTCGGGTCAAAAAGAATTGGTTTTGCCAAAGCCAAAAAGACTACACCACAACGTTTAAGGTGTGGTAAAAACTGCTTAAATACTGAGAGGGGGCAAAGATGGCAACGTACTTATGAAAATGACCCTATGCATTACTATGGTGATCCTGGATTGATAGCCGAGAAGGTTCAGCATGATGGTAGTGGGGTTTATGATGATGGTGATGACGTTGAGATGGGGGCAATTAAGGAGAATTCTGAGGGAGAAGATAGTACGGAACTTAATGGAAGTGCGGAGATTGAAGATATCAACGATGATTAGTGGTTATATTGATGTATATAGTGATAAAAATTGATTTTTTATATAAAGAACTTTTTTTACCCTACCTTACTTTACTCTACTCTACCTTGTTCTACCGTACCGTACCGGACTTTATTGTACTTTTTCCTACCCTACTCTACCCTTTCCTACCTTACTGTAACGTGCTCTATTCTACCCTTTCTCGCCCTATCTTACTTTATCCTACTCTACCTTGCTCTACCGTACTGTACGGTGCTCTATTGCACCCTCTTTTACCTTACCCTACTTTACCTTACTCTACCATACCCTACCGAACTGTATCGTGTTCTATTGTACCCTCTCCTACCATTCTCTGCTTTACCCTACTCTACCATACCCTACCGTACTGTATCGTGCTTCATTGTACCCTACTCTACTCTACCCTACTTCACTTTGTTCTACCCTACTCTACCTTACCCTATTCTACTCTACTCTACCCTACTCTATCTTACCCTACCCTATCTACCTAAAAATAGTCATCATTTCGCAAAAAATTTTTATTAATTATCAAGATATCAAAACACATATCACAAAATTACTGTGGCTTAACAGCGTAAAACGCGTTTTTCCCATCATCACCAATCGGCGGGATCTTTTTCACATAGCCCATCGTGTTTGGCTTCACCTTCTTCGAGGTATATTTTCGAGCCACGAACGAAATATAACATGAGATGCAGGAAATGGCACACAGAGTCAAGATCAATGCGGTGAACAACATACCAGCGATTTCGGAAATGTAATCGCAAACGACAGTTTGAAGTCGAATTACATGAGCGAAAGTCAACATATTGAGGTCATGAAGAGCACCAAAATTGTCATCTAGGTCGATGAGTTCTAGCTTGGACAGGGTTGCCATGTTTGGTTGATTTGAGAAGAGTTTGAGCTGAAAGTAGTATGAAGTGAATTAAACAAGATAGATATAGTACTTGAACATGATATAAGGGATAATACAATACTAATTACTGACTAAACATATCTACTTCAAAAAGTAAATACGATAGTACATGCGTTATAGTACTTCATAGTATTGATAGTACTTTGTAAAGTAAATTATAATATATTAATGTACAGCGTCCCAAACAGTATAAGACGCCGTAACGACAAGTATATATTAATTAGTTGGTAAAATTTCAAAAACTTTAAAAAAAACAATTCTTACTATATTACAGTACCCGCATACTTAAAAATGAAAAAGAAAACACTTTTCAATCCACTTAAACTTTTGAAATGAAAATATATTGTAGTAGATCTCATTTATATTACAATATCAACGTTCTTTAATTAAAAAGCTCCGCCTATTTTTTTCAACTTTTGTTTTTTAGATTCTGGCATACTGTAACATAAAAAATTGTTTTGCCAAAAAACTTTTTAATTTTTTAATTTTTTGAAAGGCTGTTTCTTAAAATTTTAATTTTTTGACTAGACAAAAAGGTCAAATTTAATAATTTATTAAATATTGTACTAAACATGTCTAGCTTCTTTATTATATTTGCCTCAATGTTCTATATCTACAGCACGACCTTGTCAATTATAAAATCTTCTCGTTCAATAAAGAAAAAATTAAATAAAAAATTAGACTAATAAAATATGTCTAGCGGCTAACTTATCTACTACATTGACCTCGAACACTACTTTGACCTTGTTATAAGACATATAACTACAGTGGTGTCTGTAAATTTTTCTATATTTACTGTCGGCCTAATAAGCGACCAGTTAAGATCTTAAAAGTTCTGCCCTTTTGCCTAACGAACAAACAAATTGCTTAAGGTCGTTTTATTAATTTTTGTCCGCGGAATCTGTAGGAGATTCATAAATTTGTTTTTGTCGTCTTGGAAGAAGTATTTGGCTTACTGTAAGTTGAAGTGAGCAATATATTTAGGATTTTTCTTGTTGATAATATAATAATTGTTCCGGCTAAATTGTAATAGACTTCTTTTTCAAAACATTTAGGCTTAGTAATGTGTAAAACCAGCTTGGGCAGTCCAAAACGTTACTAAAGACATACTTTTTATAAAATTTTTAAAAATTTTAAATTTCAACTTTTCAGTTACAAAAATGGACCCATTTCTCCAAGCAGTAGCTGTGATGATCTCAGCCCTTTTCATGTGTTGCCTTTACGGTACCTTGTCCGGCTTGACAATGGTCATATTTGCATTTGTTGTGGCCCAGCTAATTCCAGAATATATTCGACAAAAAGAAGAGATTCAAACCTTTCAACAAAAAGTTGTTGATTTTGAAGAAAGCCTTGACGATGAAGAAGACGAAGAAGAAACTGTCACGGTAAAGAAAAAAGACTACTTTGTCGACCAATAAAAAATACTTTTGCATTTTGACTTTTAATAATATTACTTTTGGTCAGTTATTAATAAATAATAATGCGCTTTATCTATTATTATATAATGAAAAAAATAAACCTAAACCTTATTAAAAGCAGTTGCAAATGCGCTGAAGTCTAAGATTGATTCTAAGTCTATGTGTAAGCGAAAGCATAAGCCTAATTTTAAATACAAGAATAACCTAAATTTAAATTTAAGCTTAAACTTCATCCTCAGCGTATGTATAAGCCTAATCCTAAGCCTAAACCTAAGCCTAAGCTTAAGCCCAAACCCAAGCTTAAGCCAATGCCTAAGCCTAAGCTTAAGCCTAAGCCTAAGTCTAAGCCCAAACCCAAGCCCAAGCCCAGGCCCAAACCCAAGCCCAAGCCCAAGCCCAAGACCAAGCCTAAGCTTAGGCCTAAGCCAAGTAAGCTTAAGCCTATGCCTAAGCCTAAGCCCAAGTCTAAGTTTAAGCCAATGCCTAAGCCTAAGCCTAAGCCTAAGCCTAAGCCTAAGCCTAAGCCCAAGCCCAAGCCCAAGCCCAAGCCCAAGCCCAAGCCCAAGTCCAAGCCCAAACCCAAGCCCAAGCCCAAGCCCAAGCCCAATCCCAAGCCAAAGCATAGGCCTAAGCCAAGTAAGCTTAAGCCTAAACCTAAGCTTAAGCAACCTATAGTTAAAGCTAAAAAAAAATAGTCTTAACAAGGCAGCGGATTACCTTCTTACCTATGTTAAGTAACGTTCAAAAATAAACTAAATGCTCTTTTCACTAATAATATTGAGCAATTATAGCGCTCTGACATAATATTTAACATATTTGTATAGCCATAGGTAAATTGCAAGAAACCGTATTACGCAACGTTTTCTTATGTAATATTGTTAACTTTTGTAATATTTGCCTCGATGTAAAACGACCCAACAAATTACTGCGAGTACGGCAATTTTACTTCAATTTTCATACGTCATTCTTACACAATTCCTCAAATAAATTTTAAAAATTTCCTTAAATTTTTTTAAGTTCAAAATTTTTTATTTTTTCAAAGTAACTGGCTACAGTACTACTACTGAAATTTCAAAGTGCAACTAAAATTTTCAAAAATGTCGCTTAGGTTGATTATAAAACATTGTAAAACATAGTAAAGTAACAAGACGTTGTCGACTGTCTCACGGTGTAGTTAAAGCAAGCCATATAAAGACTTGACCATTTGTCATTTTTGCTACTTTTGACTGTTTTACATATTGCTCAATGAAATTTTTCGTTAGAAGGTACTGTACTTGTAAAGACTGAATAGATAGTTCACAAGACTAAACGAAAATTTTTTTCCAAAAAATCCACAGGGGGGGGGGACCACGTTCAAATTTTTTCGAAAATTTTTTTTCTGGGGGGGGTACCCCCCCCGTCCCCCCCCTCGCGCCCGGCCCTGACTACAGTACTATATATAATATCATAGTACTACGCGTAACACTATAACGTTACTACTGCCAGTACTACGCTTAATGCCGTAGCAGTACTACATGGTAATGTTGTTATATTGTAATACACTTTAAAATACTGTATTTTCAGCTCAGCCACCAAAATGTGTTCCCCAGAACTATGTCGTACACTGAACATCCTACACTACTTTGTTGTAAGTTGGATCGTTCTGGGCATCATCATCCCTACTGCCATGCTGTACAAGAAACATCTGGATCCAATAGTCTACCCACCACTCGTTATGACAATATCTGCATTGATCTACATGGCGTACTGTATTTTGTGTACCAAGCCGGTTAAGCGCAATCAACCAGAAATGAGATATGTTTACTTGGATACTCGTGACCGTGACATTAATGGAGGACAATTTAATCATCAACTTATTCCGTTGCATGTTGATACTCAAGTTTAATCTGCTGCCATTTTTGATGTTCAACTTATCTTTTTATTGATTTTGTATGTTGTACTGCCTTAATTTCCACACGTACTCTAATTTTAATTAATAAACTTACTACCCATTAGGCTTAATATTTTTTTATCAACTAGCCCTAATCCTAGCTCAGAGCCCTAGCCCAGAGCCCTAGCCCAGAGCCCTAGCCCAGAGCCCTAGCCCAGAGCCCTAGCCCAGAGCCCTAGCCCAGAGCCCTAGCCCAGAGCCCTAGCTCAGAGCCCTAGCCCAGAGCCCTAGCCCAGAGCCCTAGCCCAGAGCCCTAGCTCAGAGCCCTAGCCCAGAGCCCTAGCTCAAAGCTCTAGCTCAGAGCCCTAGCCCAGAGCCCTAGCCCAGAGCCCTAGCTCAGAGCCCTAGCCCAGAGCCCTAGCTCAAAGCTCTAGCTCAGAGCCCTAGCCCAGAGCCCTAGCCCAAAGCCCTAGCCCAAAGCCCTAGCTCAGAGCCCTAGCTCAGAGCCCTAGCTCAGAGCCCTAGCTCAGAGCCCTAGCTCAGAGCCCTAGCTCAGAGCCTTACTCCAGAGCCCTAGCTCAGATCCCTAGCCCAGATCCTTAGCCTAAAGCCCTAGCCCAGAGTCCTAGTGCTGAGCTCTAGCCCTAGCCCAAAGCCCTAGTCTTAGCCTTAACCCTAGCACAAAATTTTAGTCTTGGTCCTAATTCAAATTTCTTGTACTTAGCTTTAGTCGCCGTCCTAGCTTTAGACTTAGCTACAGCCAAACATGAAGTGCTTTAGCGTAGAACCTTAGCCCAGAGTTTTTATCTAGAATCCTAGCCTAGAGCCTTAGCCCTAGTTTTACCCTAGCTCTACTCTAGCTTTACCAAATGCTTGCTTTATTACTATTATTGTAATACTGTAACCTACAGTATCCCAACTGTACCATTACATTTACTTATAGTAATGGTAAAGTAGGAATAGCCTTACTTTAGCAAAGCTTTATTTTCAAATTTAAGTCAATTTTCATATGATTTCATTATCAATTTCATGAATCACTGAAGGTGCAATTTGATATTAAATTTTCAGTGCAATCCTTAGCCCCAATACGGTTTAAAATTGCACTTGTGGTGCCGATTTTAATATTAATAAACTTGGGGTCCGCGAATTTAATGCCAGGAGTCGTCCAGGAAAAAACCGTTTTTTTTTCCTTCGAATGAAAACGGCGTACGACCGTTTTTTTTCGCCAGCCTTCGGTTGGTCCGCTGAAGCCGAGAGGCGAAAGCGGAGAGACACGCCGTCGCGGGCGGAGGGCCGGGCAGAGAGTCGGTGTGGGACGGAGCGCAGACGCTGTGTTTCGAAGGGCAGCCATCCACCACCACCACCTCGCCTTTGCCCCCCGCCCGAATGCTTTTTCCCGTTCGCTCTCACCCCAAACATTCTTCCCATTTTGCAAAGCCTTCGCCATGCGGAATCGACGGTTCAGCCGTGAACTCTACGTGCTTTACCAATACCGTTTTCGGCTTATCAACGCGGTTATTGTACGAAAAAATTTTTGATTAGTAATATAAGCATGATTGAGTATGTAGGTATGATCAGTACTAGACGTAGTAGTACGATAGCTGAGTGGTAGTACTAAAAACACGTTTTACTTTATATTCCTAAATTTTTAGGCTTAGAATTACTTTAGTACTACAAGAAAAAAAATTTTTTGGTTAGAGGTATAAGCATGATAAAGTAGGTGGGTATGACTGCTAAAAAGCGTAGTAGTACTTTTGGTTATTAATGGTACTAAAAAATCATTTTTATCTTTGCTTCACTAATTTTTAGGCTTATCAATATAAGTTTTATACAAAAAATGGTATTGTAATGTAAGGCATAGCATTAAAGTGATTGGATGGTTCATATTAGTACCCTGAAAATCATTTATGGTACTAATGGTACTAAAAATATCTTTTTTTGTACGCTTTTCTTGTTGTTGCTGTGCTTTTTAAGCATAACAACTGAAAAAAAATTTTTTTTGATCGGGAGGGGTAAAACAACAAAATTTTTTAAAAATTACTTATTAAAACTTACTAAGCCCAAGCGCACCAAGCCTGAGCCTACTAAGCCTACTGAGCCTAAGTCTCATAAGTGTAAGCTTAAGCCTACTAAGCCTAAGCCTACTAAGCTTAAGCCTACTAAGCCTAAGCCTACTAAGCCTAAGCCTACTAAGCCTAAGCCTACTAAGCCTAAGCCTAAGCCTACTAAGCCTAAGCCTATTAAGCCTAAGCCTAATAAGCCTAAGCCTACTAAGTCTAAGCCTACTAAGCCTAAGCCTACTAAGCCTAAGCCTATTAAGCCTAAGCCTAATAAGCCTAAGCCTACTAAGTCTAAGCCTACTAAGCCTAAGCCTACTAAGCCTAAGCCTACTAAGCCTAAGCCTACTAAGCCTAAGCCCACTAAGCCTAAGCCCACTAAGCCTACGCCTACTAAGCCTAAGCCTACTAAGCCTAAGCCTACTAAGCCTAAGCCTACTAAGCCTAAGCCTACTAAGCCTACTAAGCCTAGGCCTACTAAGCCTAAGCCTACTAAGCCTAAGCCCACTAAGCCTAAGCCCACTAAGCCTACGCCTACTAAGCCTAAGCCTACTAAGCCTAAGCCTACTAAGCCTAAGCCTACTAAGCCTAAGCCTACTAAGCCTAAGCCTACTAAGCCTAAGCCTACTAAGCCTAGGCCTACTAAGCCTAAGCCTGCTAAGCCTAAGCCTACTAAATCTGAGTCTACAAAGCCTAAGCCTACAAATCCTAAGCCTACTAAGCCTAAGCTCTAGCCTACTAGTCCCAAGCCAAAGACTAGTAATCGTAAGCCTACTAAACCTAAGCCTACTAAGCCTACGTCTACTAAATCTGAGTCTACAAAGCCTATGCCTACAAATCCAAAGCCCACTAAGCCTAAGCTCTAGCCTAATAGTCCCAAGCCAAAGACTAGTAATCGTAAGCCTACTAAACCTAAGCCTACTAAGTGTAAGACTACTAAGCCTGAGCCAACTAAGCCCTAACATCTTGACCTAAAAATATAACCTTAAACCAAGCCCTGTCCAAGTGGGACTGGGCTTGGTTAGGCTTTCGCGGAGTGTTGTGATTGTTTTTTGCCGAAAAGGGTGAACACGGGCGACTGCTTTGCTTAAAAAAATAAAATTTGGAATCGCTTTAAATCGAAATTTTTCTTTTCCCATACCACTCTCCGCACTTCCGCCGCTCTCTCTGCGCCGCTCGCTCGCAAAGCCAAAAAGTTTGTCGAAAACTTCCCAACCACAGAGCTTTTTTAGAATTTTGGCGTTGAAACAAATCATATCAATAGGGTTTTGTAGGCGGAAAAGTAATAATGCTTCACAATTATAGTGGTTTTTGAAAGGCTGGTAAATTCGTCATGCTTTGGCGAAGAATTTTGTTTTTTATGGTCGGGCAGGGTAAATTTTTTAAAGGATAAATAGGCAGATTTCGGGTAGGACAAGCTGAATATTTACTTTCATGTTGAAAATTGGAAAACTATGATTGGGCTGGGCTAGGATAAGTAAGATAGGGTAGTTCAGAGTAGGGAGGGATAGCGTAAGATAAGATAGGGTAGGATAATGTAGGGTAGGGTAATGTAGAGTAGGATAAGGTAAGGTAGGATAAGGTAGGGTAGGGTAAGGTAGATTAGGATATGGTAAGCTAGGGTAGGGTAAAGGTATTATAAGGGAGGGTAGGGTAAAGTAGGGTAGGGCAGAGTGCAAAAAATTTTTTTTTCAAATTTTTTTTTAATTTTTTAAAGTTTTTAATTTTTATTGACATTTTTACCACTGCCAATAAAAATTTATCTAGTATTCATCTTTTTCATTCATAACATTTTCGTTAATAGTGGGAAACCTGACTCAAAGCCACCTTTTTGGGTCAACTGTTCCGCTTCGTTTCGACGCGGAGCTTTTTTTCCGCTGAAAACGTATTTTTCTACCTTTCTTCATGATTTTGTGCGTTATGCTATTTATTCCGCATTTTTAAATTGATCTTTCTTGTGATTTTATTGTTTTTGATCTGTCTTGGGCGTGGTAATTTATTTTACAAGGTGGTTAATTTGAGGTATAAGAGTTTTTGAACAGACAGTTGTACTAAAATTGTTTTCGACAAATATGTTTGGTATAGATAATTTTTTACACTTTTTTATGACTTTAGTACTATATTGAACAGAACATTTTGTTTTACATTTATATTAACATAAGCGCTTTCCCATTGATTTTAAAATATTATTCTTCGCCGGCCTAAAACAATATTTTTCAGAGACAAAAATGTTTAATGAAGGCGAAGAAGAGCAGAAGCCCGATTTCCTACAGCTGATATCCGAGGCTTTTCGTGCCGGGCCGTCTCCAAATCAACCATCCTCATCCAAGTTCACACCACCTCCAAATGGATCCAATTCACCATTGGAAGCTCGCGTCGAACTGTCAATGGAACGATCATTGATAAATCTTCCAGCTGCATTGAGGAACGACCTCGAGGAACGTTTTATTGAGATTTTGCCAAATTATCCCTGCTTCTACGATCCAAACGACAAGAACTTTGCTCACAATCAGTTCAAATCGAATAGTTATGCCGAGATCGCGAAGAAGATCACGGCCGATGGGCTGGAAACGTCTGGACCGCAGCTAGCTGCCATTTTTAAAGGCATCAAGGCTAAATATAGAGAGGAGGCGAGGAAAATGACAAGGTTAGAGGGAAGAATCGAACCATCGCCGTTTTATCAACGATTGAGCTTCTTGGAGAGGGGATTGAGCACGGTGGATCAGTAAGTTTTTGGAATTTTTTAAATTTTGGGAAAAAGGGGGATATTCAAAGATTAAAATAGGTTTGGAAATTTAAAATTTTTAATTTTGAAAAAAATTTTTTTTTTGAAAAAAGGTTTACAGGGGGGACCAAGCTAATTTTTAAAATTTTTTAGCTTAAATTGAAGTTTTGAAAATAAAAATTTTTTTGAGTGTGTATTTAGGCCGTTCACATAATTCTGTGCCATTTTCAAAGCAAATTTTCAAAAATGAGAAAAAATAAATAAAAATTTTATCGTTTGATTTTTTTCATGTTTAGCAGTATAATATCCTAAGATTTAGATCAAATTTTTAAAATGTAAGTTTAAATTTTTTTCATGTTTTGTCATGTTGCTTTAGACGTCCGGAACCTATCGACAAATCACAACTTCGAACCGTGATTTGGTACGAGTTTAAAACCGGACGCAGTGCCAAGTCGACGGCTCAATTGATCAACCAAACGTACGGAGAAGGTACAGTGACATATACAACCACAAAGAGATGGTTTCAAAAATTTCGTATTGGTGATGAGACACTACAGGACAAGAGGAGGTCAGGAAAACCGAAAACAGTGTCGGACGAGTTGCTGAAGCAGCACATTGCAATTGATCCGAGTATTACGGTCAAAAAGTTGGCAAAAGACCTAAACTGCTCTACTGGATCCGTTTCTAAGCATTTGAAATCAATGGGATATGTGAAGAAGTTTGAAAAATGGGTATGAAGTTCGCCGTTCTTTATCATCCTTAGTCATCTGACGATTCACTGAAGAGGACGATGTCCGAGGATACAAAAAATTTAACGTTGATGATAATTATGTTGATTAATAAATAGTTGTTTTAAATTTTTTAGTATATTGTGTCAGGGGGCACAGAATTATGTGAACGGACTGTGTCAGGGTGCACAGAATTATGTGAACGGCCTGTGTTAGGGGCGCAGAATTATGTGAACGGTCTGTTTCAGGGGGTACATAATTATATGAACGGCCTGTTTCAGGAGGCACAGAATTATGTGAACGGCCTAATAATTAAAACTTTTTTAAAAATTTTTATTTTTAGAAACACCCTCAAGAGAATAGCCAGAATGAGAGCTGCTGACCGGCTGCCAGTATCCACCGCTCCTCCACAACCGACCAGAAAGTCGTATACGATTCACAGTAGCAGTGATGGACCAGTATCGGCTCACAACATGATTATCACACCTAAACTGACATTGGACATTCCTCGGCAGGGCAATAATGTTAAGGTAGGTATAGGAAATGAAGTATTACCTATATAAGTCTTATATAGGCAATAATTTTGGATTTTTAAATTTTTTTAAATTTGATTACTTTTTTGATTAAAATTTATATTTTTGGCTTAAAATAAATTTTTTAAAACTTTTGACAATTTTCCAAATTTAAAAATTTCGAATTTCAGATAGTTTACGGCCCCAGAGTAACCACCCCCTCAACCCACACAATAATCACACCCAACGCTCAACCGGTCGATAATGCGAATGTTCAGTCGATAGTGGAAAGATTGGCACAAGCCAGTGAAAATGAAAAAGCTTTGGTCGAAAAATTGGTATTTTCCATTATGACACTTGGTGAAAACAAGAGAGAGAACGTTGTGGCACGTTTGACACAGGCTTGTAATGGATTGGGCGTTTTTGACAATGGATTTTTACAACTTGTAAGGGGTTTTAAATTTTTTTTAATTGCAAAATTGGTGGTTGTAAACAAAGTTTTTGCGGTTTTATGCCCTGCAATGAACATTTTGAACTTTTTTTTCTCTGTAAACAAAGTTTTTGCAAGTTTTTTGTTAACAAATAAATTTTTAAAAATCTTTCAGATGGTCCCCGAAGCCATAAGCGACGAAACCTACATAAACAAAGGCGGTGACATTTGTAAAATCATGAAAACCGACGACAAGTACCGCTCTTTAACCGTCAACTTCTCCGACATCGCTCCAGGCCGAATCTTAGTCGCAGATCCAAGATTGAGTGATAAGGAACGACGATTAACGAATATTTTACGAGAAGAAGAGATGATTTACAATAGAGATGAGCTAGATGAGGATCAACGAGACAGTTTGTACAGAAACGTGGCTAAAAACATGAGACCCTTCAATGTTGATGGTAGGTTAATATTTCTTTTGGTGTAAAAATTATTATTGGTTTGTAGATTAAGGTGAAATTCTGTGTAGATGTTGATAAAGGCAGTAGGAACGAGTATGCAAAAAATGGGATTGAAATTTGAACTTTTAAAATTTGAATTTTAAATTTGGCGCCAAAAATGTAAATTTCCAGAATAGGATTATAAGACATCAGAATTAGTCGAAATTTTACAAAAGTGGTGCTAATGGTACTACAGTTCACCATGCAAAAAATTATGTTTTAAATTGCACTTTTAAATTTTGAATTTTAAATTTGGCGCCAAAAATTTAAATTGCCATTATATGATTACGAGACATCAGAGTTAGTCGAATTTCCACAAAACTGGGGTTAATGGTACTACGGTTCACCACGTAAAAAATTATGTTTTAAATTGCACTTTTAAAATTTGAATTTTAAATTTGGCGCCAAAAATTTTAATTGTCATAATTTGATTATAAGTCTTAAGAATAACTTGAAATTTTTCAAAATTAGTGCTAATGGTAATACGGTTCGCTATGCAAAAAATTATTTTTATTTTTGCACTTTTAAAAGTTTTGCCGCAAAATTTTAAATTTTTTATAAATCAATTTTTAATGCTTCGGTTTGCTTAAAATATGTTCTGTAGGTTTATAGTAGCTTCAAAGTCACAATGTAACTTTTGTTTTTAACAAAAAATTTTTACAAAGTTTTAACTTTTTTAAAAATTTTTATTTTCAGTTGACTGGGTAGCCGAAACCATTGAAAAACTGTACCGAAAGTATGTCGAAGTAAAACGCGAGTATTCAAAACAATGTGGAAATGCAGTACGACCGGCGTTCCTAAAAACATTGTCGTTTATGGACCGGTCGAACATTATCGAGCCTTCCTTGTCGGAAGCCGTTCAGACCGCTCTTCGTTCAGCGTCAAGATCTCCGACCGATTCGCCATTACTACTGGATCAAAGTGGTCGGAATTCAGTGGAAATCGTGGAAGATTCATTGAACTCCATGGAAGTTGACGGAGATTCAGCTTTGAAGCCGAAAGACTTTGCCGAGATGCTTGAAGCCGTTTCGAAGCCGGTTTCTCGGACTTTTGCTGAAGCTGAATGTCAAACTGATCTTGTGGATTCTGAAAATGTTCAGAAGGAAACAGCGGTTGAAGAGCCGAAAAATGATGACAAAGCAGCCAAGAATACTGATGATTCAGCCAGAAATGAAAAATTGTCTACAGAATCTAAAAATGATGACAATTTGGCTCAAAAACTGCCGGAAAACCCTGATATCGCCGCGATTTCCGCAACTTTTGCCAAAAATCCAGAAGAATTGGCTATGTTCCGGATCCTAGCTAACCAGTTACCTACAGAAAACCGCTTTCTACACATCCAGAATCTGTTAAACATCGTCAATGCTACAAAAGAGTCATCTGTTCATATCAGCTGGAAAACACAAGTCTACGAAGCCAGAAAGGGCTGGACTAGCCAAGTACAGAAGCTAATTTTGAGCGGAAATGCAGCTAATGAGATTCCGGATGAACCGACCGGTAATGACGCGGATATGAGGGATGTTGAGGAGGTTAGAGCTTTTGAGGAAAGTGCCAGTTTTTCGACCGAAAACGACTTTTTAATGGAAAACGAAGAAGCAACCAGGAATAAGGAGGACTTGCCTCATGATAATGAAGAGATTTTAAAGAAAAAAGACAGTATTTTGGCGGGAAATTCAAAATTAGCCAATGGACGACCGAAACGATACAAGAAAAATGGAGTTTTGACCACAGAAAACGGAATTTCATTGCCAGAACGACCAAGGAGAACATTGGAAAAGGCTAGTACCGGAGCTGAAAAGCTCTCTATTGCTTCTGACAAGGCCCCTACAGTAACCGAAGAGGTCTCTAACGTACCTGAAAAACCAGTTACAGTTGCTGAAAAGACCCCTACAGTACCATTGAATGGAAGAACTAGAAGTCCAAGGCATATTATAGATAGAAAGGCCAAAAATTTAGATTCCACAAGGTCTGCGGCTTCAGAATCCGGTCGATTGAGTGCGGAATCTACAGGAATGTCAACAAGAAAGCACCATGTTTCTGGCCACAAAAATGGGGTTTCCGGCCAAATTAAAAATGAAAATTCAAGCCAAATGATTAAAAATGGTCTTACAAGTCCAGCAAGCTCAGTTCAGCACGATGAAGACAGTTATGAAGCTCAGAATGATAAAAATCGAAGCTGTGATCAAAAGTCGACTACATCTGAAGTTAATGGTATTGAAAATAGACCAAAAAATTGCGTGAAAGATGAAAGTATGATCGAAAATGGACAAAACTTGAAAGGTCTTGCTAGTCCAGGTCAGGAATCGATCAAAAGTAACCAAGAATCAATCAAAAATGGCCAAGAGTCGACCGAAAACGATCAAAATCACTCAAAATTCGACCAAAATACTACCAAAACCACGGAAAGTCAAGCCTCAGAACTGGCCGATGAATCCATGGAGCCAGAGAGCCAATCGGCTTCAGAATCCGAGAAACACGAAGACAGACAACGACGCATTCATAGTAGAAGGTCAGAGCCGGCTAAACGACCAGATATGGCGACGAGAAGCTTGAGGAATCAAGCTTTAAAAACTGTCGCACCTCACAGTGCTGAGCCTGCAAAGGGGGTCAAGAGAAAGGCCGTTGATGAGGAGGAGTTTACGGTAAGGATTACTGTAGTTTTTTATTTTTTTGGCTTTGTTTAAGGAGCTTATAATGAAAAAAATTTTTTTTGTTATAAAACGCAAGAACTTTCTTTACAAATCAAAAAATGGCAAGAACTTTCTTTACAAAACTAAAAATGGCAAGAACTTTCTTTACAAATCAAAAAATGGCAAGAACTTTCTTTAAAAAGCAAAAAATAGCAAGAACTTTCTTTAAAAAGCAAAAAATAGCAAGAACTTTCTTTACAAAACAAAAAATTGCAAAAACTTTCTTTACGAGCCAAAATGTGGTAAAAATATATAAAATTACTCTTTTAAAAATTTTTTCATTTTCAGCCCAACAGCAAAAAGGCAGATCAACCGAAAAGACGCGGCCGACCACGCAAGTACCCCGTCGAACTCACTGGTACTATTGCTAAAACAAGGTTCGACGACTGAGGATCTTTCTCTTTTATCATTATTTTTAACTGATTGTCATTATCATTAGATACCTTATTTGATGTTTGAAGTTATTTTAAAAATTATTAATGTTAAGGTACATCAAAAAAGTTTTGTCGTATTTTTGCAGTGTTTTGCACGTTAAAAAACGACAAAACTTTTTATTGTGGTTAAATATGGAGCTATATAGTCTAAATGTTATCCCTAAATAGTATTTTTTAATTATTTTTTCAAATTACTCTTGTTTTTGTCAAATTATTTGTTACTTTTTTAAAAAAATTTTGTCTTGTTTAAATTTATTATTTGGTTAAAAAAAATTTCTTGCCAATATTTTCAATATTTTACGCATTTTTAGTTTTTTGTTGTTGATGCAAAAAGAACGGCGTGAAAAGTTCTTTTAGATTTTGGTTTGAAAATGACATTTTTTTGAATAAAATTCAATTTTTAAATATTTTGTTTTATAAAAAAAATTTTGCGCCATTCTTTTTGCATCAAAAAAATTTTTTTGGATTTTCGTTTAAAATGCGGAGTTTTATAAAATTCGCGCCATTCTTTTCGCATCAAAAAAAATTTTTTCTTGTTTTTTTTGGATTTTTTTATGAATTTGTTTTCCACGCCACTCTTTTTGAATCAAGAATTTTTAAAATTTTTCTTTTTTTTAATTTTTTGCCTTTGAAATTCGAACTTCAGGATACCACTTGACGCAAATTATAATAATTATTTGTCAATGTTAATTACACCTCGCTGTACATCTCATGTACGTCACTACTCCTCCGTAAATAGTTTCTTTTACAAATTAATAATTTTTATTTTGGTTTTTTTTGCTAAAAGTTTACGGGTATTTTGATACTAATAAATTGACTTTAACGTTGAAGAGGTTCGGATTTACCATGGTTTTGATCTTGTACGGCTTACGTTTTGATCTTGGGGGGGGGGGGGGAGAAATTTGAAGATACAAATTGAGCCATGCCCAGGCCACCGTCAGCCGTGTTATGAGGTGTGATTGAAGTTACAACACTTATTTTTTGTCGGGCGGGGTAAATTAATTTTTTGTGGGGGGGGTCTAAAAATTTTTTTATAAAAAAATTTTTGATGAAGTCATAAGTTATGACTCACAACACTATTTTTCGTAAAAAAATTGAAAAGCGTGGTATTCTTCAGCCTTCCAACGACGGATGCCCTTACACATATTATAGTAAAATTACAAAATATTACAGTAAATTTGTAAAACTACAAATATATTATAGTAAGTTACTATTATATTTTGATAACCAGTGTTCACAGACTACAATTCCAAATCTTATTAAATATACTTACAATTAAAAATTAATTTTAACTTAATTTGAAAAATTTTACATTTACAACATTGTATGTTTACACTTTCTCACGTTTTTTGTTTTTTATTAAGTTATGTACAAAGTGGGTATGTAAGGAGTTTTTTTTTGTCATTTATGGTTTTTTAGGACAGTTTTCGTCATTTTTTGTTTTGTAAAGAAAGTTCTTGCCATTTCTTGGTTTGTAAAGAAAGTTCTTGCCGTTGTTTGTTTTGTATAGAAAGTTCTTGCCGTGGTTTGTTTTTTAAAGAAATTTAATGCCATTTTTTAAAGTTTCACCGCTTAGTTTTACTAAATATGTCATTTTTCTCGATACCCGACGACGAGCTTTTTTGAAAATCCATAAAAGTTTTGTTTAGTTTCAGTAATATGTAATTAATTCCGTCTCGCATATTACCTTGCTAATGAGTATTTTTTTACAAATTGTAGTCTAATATTAGCATTACTTTGTAGTATTTCTCCAGGTGTGTACAAACGAACAATATTTTAAGCTTGATAATCTTTCTCTTATCTCACTCTGCTTATTTTTGTATTGCCTAAAAATTAAATTTTAAAGTTTTTCAAGCCTAAATTTAAGCCCTTACAAATGCAAGTTTATTTTTCGGTAATTATTGTCTACTCTCATTGAAAAGTATATATTTTGCATATTATAATTGGGCGGTGTTTTTCCAAGCCTTGAAAACGGCATGTACTTTTTTCAAAGTTAAGCAAAAAAAATAATTATTAAGTGGCTTAAAATGAACGTAAAAACACTTTTTAGAAAAAAAAATATTTTATCCACCCCAAAATCATTACAACCGCTAATTTTACCCCGTTTCCTCCGCTATTCCCATAAAACCCAGAAAAGAAGAGAGCCCGAACGTGTACGCTCATAGCCCGTTGAACGCACGCCATCCCGTCCGATCTGGCAAGTTAAGCAACGGTGCGCTTGATTAGTACTTGGATCGGAGACGTCCTTGGAATCTCAAGTGGCGTACGCATTTTTGCCTTCTAATTGGGTGGATAATAATTTTTGACGTCTTATCATGATTACAATGTGTTTTTAATCGTTTTTTAATTGTTGTTTTTGTTAATTTTTGTACCTTGTACTAGTTGTTTTGTCAGCACTTAATGGTTGCTTAAATTTTTCGATATTTAAAAATTGGGTTACATTTTTTTTTGTTTTCTGCCTAAAAGTACCCTACCTGTCAGAATCAGCTCAAAATTTTTATATGAATTCCTTGTACCACCAATAGTACCTATAAAAAATTTTAGCTTGCGCTTTTGAGTTTTAAATTTGAATTATTTGGGTTCCCCGCCAATTTGGCAAATCTGGCATTGTGTTTCAAGCACTTTTTTGGCTTTCCAGACGATATACGCTTACAAATTTAAAAATGTAGGTTTATATAAAGGTATTCTACTAGTATATCAACTAAAAGCCTGAAAATAGCAAAGTTATAAGCTTGAAACACAATGCCAATTTGGCGGGAAGTTCAAAACACGACTTGTTGATCTCGATCCTCTTGAGATTGACTGGAGAGCGATTTAGTACTTTGCTGAATGTCTTATATTTACATGGTCTTTCGATGTAAAAAGTTTGAAGTCAATCAGAGCGGGGCAGGTTAGACACTTTCTTTGTCAATTTGACGTTATTTTGTTGTTTAAACCTACTAAAACCCTATTTTTTATTTTTCACAATGCAATAAAATTAAAATTAGTTTTATTGCATTACCTTATCATTTTAGACTTCCCAGTAAATTTTCTAGAAATACCATTATTACGTGGTCTTTATATTTACATTTGGCATCTTAAAAACGTCATATCTTTTTATTTTTTAAAAAGGTTTAAAAAACCATTTAATTTTTATTTAAAAAAATATTTTAGATGTTGGAATGGTTAATGGATGACTTTACAATCATATGTGACATTATATACATTGTAGAATTTGTGCTTAATATTTCAAATTTTTTGCTTGGAATCTACCTCACAGTTAAATTGTATCAATTACAGACGATTAATCCTAATTTGAAAATTATTTTGGTAAGAACTTTCTTTACAATACACAAAAAACATCCTACTCTTACCCTAAACAAATATAAGCCTAAAAATGCGGCTTTAACCCTAAAAATGTGTACCTAAGCCTAAGAATGTGTACATAAGCCTAAAAAGGTTTAGCTCAGCCTAAAAATTGCGTAATGAGCCTAAAATGTATACCTAAACCTAAAATGTGTATCTAAGCCTAAAATGAGTATTTAAGCCTAAAAATGCGTACCTAAGCCCAAAACGTGTATATAAGCCTAGAAATACGTACCTAGGCCTAAAATGTGTACTTAAGCCGAAAATGTGTACCTAAGTCTAAAATTGTGTACCTAAGCCTAAAATGAGTACCTAAGCCTAAAATGAGTACCTAAGCCTAAAATTGTGTACCTAAGCCTAAAATTGTGTACCTAAGTCTAAAATTGTGTACCTAAGCCTAAAATTGTGTACCTAAGCCTAAAATTGTGTACCTAAGCCTAAAATGAGTACCTAAGCCTAAAATTGTGTACCTAAGCCTAAAATTGTGTACCTAAGTCCAAAATTGTGTACCTAAGCCTAAAATTGTGTACCTAAGCCTAAAATGAGTACCTAAGCCTAAAATTGTGTACCTAAGCCTAAAATTGTGTACCTAAGTCTAAAATTGTGTACCTAAGCCTAAAATTGTGTACCTAAGCCTAAAATGAGTACCTAAGCCTAAAATTGTGTACCTAAGCCTAAAATTGTGTACCTAAGTCTAAAATTGTGTACCTAAGTCTAAAATTGTGTACCTAAGTCTAAAATTGTGTACCTAAGCCTAAAATATGTACCTAAGCCTAAGAATGCGTAATTAAGCCTAACCATGTGTACCTAAGTCTAAAAATTATGTAATAAGCCTAAAATGTGTACCAAAGCTTAACAATTACGTAATAAGTTAAAAAAATTCGTATTTAAGCCAAAATGTTTACCTAAGCCTAAAATTTAAAAAAAATTCAGGTAACAGAAATGTTGGCCATAGGCTACGTAACTCTACTACACTCATTAGGCAACATCCTACCACCGTGTTATGTATCATACGAGAATGGCGACATCATCCTACCCACTCTCTATCATTCGGCTATGTCAATTGCTGGGTTTTGTATGATTTTCTTCGATTTAAAATATTTTTTGGTCGCTTTGGAGCGTAAAATCGCATTTTCCCGTAAAGCCACCTACGAAAATGAAGGTGCTGGTACGGGCAATCGACTGGTATTGTCAGCTTCAGTATTTTCTTTAATATACACGATTGGCAAGAACATGTTTATATGGAAAACACAAGAAAACTTGGACTTGGATCAGAGATTGACCAAAGTTACTATGGTTGACAAATACTTCCCTGGCCTTATTATGTCGTATATTGTAGCTAGTACCGCCATTTTTTACGCTATATATGTAAGTTTCGGCTGAAAAATTCAAAAAAAAATTTTTTGTTTTTGTAAACAAAGTTATTTCGGGTTTTTAAAAATTTTAACAAAAAAAATATTTTGTCAAAAAAATTTTGTAAAGAAAGTTTTTTCCGATTCTTAAAAATTGCAACAAGACCATTTTCTATCATTGTAAACAAAGTTATTGCCAAAAAATTAATTTCTGCACCGTGCAGCGCTATTTGTCTTCTTTGCACAGTGCGAAAGCGCGATCCCGTCCGATCTGGCAAGTTAAGCAACGTGCGCTTGATTATAAAAAGTTCGGGGAACTTTGGATAAAAATAATGTTTTTGGGGTTTTTAAGTACTGGAAAGAAAGTTTTTGCATTTGTCGTTTTGGAAAGAAAGTTTTTGTAAAAAATTTTCAAGTTTGAAATACTTTTTGTTTTAGGTATTTTTAAAAATTTCGTCCCAAATTCACGTTCTGGAGTCAAATTCTTTGTCGGAACGTTATGAATTACGACAAATTGTGGCAGCAATGGCTTGGCTGAGAAAATTGATAAAAGCTTTTGGAATCGCTATGATTTTTACATTTCCTTTTATGGTTATAATATGTTATTTATACTTCGCTGAAAGGAAGAATGAAGATGACAAGTACATGCAAATATTGCTTACTGTAAGTATCCTACCCTACCCTACCGTACCCTACCCTACCCTACCCGACCCTACCCTACCCTACCCTACCCTACCCTACCCTACCCTACCCTACCCTACCCTACCCTACCCTACCCTACCCTACCCTACCCTACCCTACCCTACCCTACCCTACCCTACCCTACTCTACCCTACCCTACCCTACCCTACCCTACCCTGTTCTTACTATATCGATCCTGTTTCATATAACAATTTCTAGATAATATTCTGTGCCGGCTCCGCCTACAGCCTGGTCACCACCTACTTTATGTTCAGTGAATTCCCTCAACTTCGAAATGCCGTGGCTAAAGACTTCCCATTTTGCGCTCCAAAAATATCAACGTCCGTTTTGAGTCAAGAGGAACGTGATAACATGTACTACAATAGCTTGAACGTGGCTTGGAGACATCCTGAAGAACCGAAGTCCATTGCTACAATAACATAGAGCTTTTCTTTATGTTTTGCCGTACCTCAATGTGAATAACCTAAAAATTTTGCTTAATTATAAATTTTTAAACTTCAAAAGATTATAAAAATATTATTTTTACTATTTTTACCTATTTTTCAGCTCATTTACCATCAAAACCACCTTATTTTTTTAAAAATTCTCTTGATCTTCAACATGGAAAAACACTTGACACAATTTCTCATTATGTGCCAACTCTTCTTCTTTTATTTTTCTTTCGAAATTTGAGAAAAATATCGAAATTTATTGCGCTCTTTGACTGTTCTCTGAGTAAAATCTTGTTTTTACCTTGGTAAATGTACCTAAAATACTTTCGCAAATGTGTTTTTATGTTTTTGACTTGTTTTTGAGTAAAAAACATTGAGTCAGAGAGCCTTCAAGTGTTTTTGTTGGTCTGGGATACATTTTGACGGATTTCTTTTTGTTTTTTTAGGTTTTAAATGTTTATTGGATTATGTAAATATATGTTTCTGGGTACTTAAAAAACATTTAAGATTGTTTCACCGGGATTTGGTTATATATTGTTGTTTTTTTTGATTTGTAGAGTTGCCTACCTTAATATAATTTTTTCTGCTTTCAGCTTGGTTAATATTCCTGGATTTTGAGCATAATTTGAAGAGGATATACTAGAGATTATACAGAAATATATTGTCGATTGGTTTTTTCATATAAATTTACTTTCCTATCTTATTGACCTAACACAAGATGGAAGGTCGGCGAAAACGTCAATATGAATCCGCTATGGCATTTGACGCCGAAGAACGGGGTGAAATGGTTGCCAAAGACATCCCACTACCTCGACAAGCTACTCGCAGAGATGATGGCGAGATTATGCGTGATCGATACGGTGCCAAAGACTTTACACATCTGAAAATGCACGATGATCACGAAAGACGGCCAATGTGGATCGGTGAAGATTGTATGATATATTTGGAGAGCTTCAGCCCCATGTACAAAGCTGCACACGACTTTTTGGTGACGGTCGCTGAAGTATGTTGGTTTTCCGTTTGTTGTGTCATATATTTAGGACTGTTCATAAACTGGTAAATATTGTGATCGAGGTTGATGCGAAATGCTTTAGTTCTTTGAGTTTTTAATTTTTTCTGAATATGGTTTGGTTTAATAACTTTTTTTATAATTTTGTTTGAAACTAAAATACGAAAAGCTACCAGATGTGGTTTAAAATATATCTTTCAATATCTACTATAATATAGTTTTTTGTTCTAAAAAGATAAAACGAGGTATAAACGTTAAATTAGCGTAAATTAAAAGGTAACTGAACTAAAAGTTTTGAAGTAAACTTCAAGATATTTTTGAAATGATGTGACATTAATGTAAAGTTAAAAAACGGGCATTTTTAGCCAGTATGTCGTCCAGAATTCATTCACGAGTACCGTCTAACTGCATACTCATTATACGCGGCTGTCTCCATCGGTTTACAAACGTCAGATCTGATTGGAATGTTGGACAGGCTATGTAAACATGAAGTGCCGGAGATGATCAAGAAGTTTGTGGAAGTTTGCACGTTAAGTTATGGAAAAGTGAAGTTGGTGTTGAAGAAAAATCGGTATTTTATCGAGTCGCCGCATTCGGACGTCGTACAGAAATTGCTAAAAGATCCGGTCATCCAAACTTGCATATTGGAGGAGGAACAGTCGATGACGGATATCGACCAACAGACGGCTGAGAAAAAGGCCAAAACTGATCTGAGTGGTGATAAAAAGGTAGGTTTAATTTTTTAATTAATTTTTGTTTGAAATTTAGGTGAAATTAACGGTGGATGAAAAGAAATGGCAGGAAATATTATTTTTTTCGGCATGGTTAATATCGTTTGCAAAAATTCTGACACTACTCTGGAACATTTACCTCAAAGATATATGATTTTAAGTCTAGGATAGCATGAATAATATAATTTTATAGATTTTTTTAGCTAATTTTTATATTTTTTGCTATTTTCATTAATTTTAAATGAAAAGTTAGCAAAATAAATCTTACAGAGTCATTTTCAGGACGATGAAGATGAAGAAGCGAACGAATCCGACCAATATTATGATAAGATTATGCAAGAAGAGGAAAGAGATGAAAATGCAGAAGCGATTAAGAATTTACAAATCCTGACGTTTGAAATCAAACCATCGTCGATTGAAACGGTGCAGAAAAGATGTATCGAAATGGAATATCCGTTATTGGCTGAGTACGACTTCAGGAATGATACTCACAACCCCAATATGGGTATTGACTTGAAACCGGCTACTAAATTGAGGTTAGTTGGGGGAGACAGATTTATGAGGGTGGAAATGACAATTTTAATTAAAATATTTGGGTTTTTAGGCTTAAAAAGGAATTTTGAGACCTTAAAATTAATTCTAGGCTTAAAAACTCATTTTTAGGCTTAAAAAGTCATTTTTAGGCTTAAAACTTATTTTTAGGCTTAAAAATTACCTTTAGGCTTAAAATTTATCTTTAGTCTTAAAAATTATTTTTAGGCTTAAAAAAGTTTTTAGGCCTAAAAAAATTATCTGCATACATCTATTCTTAATTTTAAAAATCTTTCAGGCCTTACCAAGAACTCTCACTCCGAAAAAATGTTCAGTAACAGCCGAGCACGTTCAGGTGTAATCGTACTACCTTGTGGTGCAGGTAAAACCCTAGTAGGGGTGACGGCTGCAACCACAGTAAACAAACGTTGTCTATGTTTGGCGACAAGTAATGTCTCAGTCGAACAATGGCGAGCTCAGTTCAAATTGTGGTCGACTATCAAGGAAAGTCAACTGGTAAGGTTCACAAGAGAGGCCAGAGATAAGGTACCAACTGGAGAGGATGCCAAGAAACCGGTCGTTTGTATATCAACTTACTCTATGGTTGCGTATACTGGAAAGAGAACGTATTTGGCTGAAGAGGCTATGCAGTTCATTGAGAGTCAGGAATGGGGGCTGCTTTTGTTGGATGGTAGGTTTGGGGTGGATAAAGAGATTTTTTATTATTTTTTTTAATTTGAGGTATCAAACTTATAGAAATGACGTTTTTTATTAAAATTTTGAAATTTCAAAAAATTTTAAAATGACAATTTTAATTAAAACCATAATTTAATTTTTCAGAAGTACACACAATCCCAGCCAAAATGTTCCGCCGAGTACTAACCATCGTTCGCTCCCACTGCAAACTCGGCCTAACAGCCACATTGCTTCGAGAAGATGACAAAATCACTGACCTCAACTTCCTCATCGGCCCCAAAATATACGAAGCCAATTGGATGGAACTTCAGCGTAACGGATTCATCGCCAAGGTACAGTGTGCCGAAGTCTGGTGCCCTATGACGGCCAATTTCTACGAATATTACCTCAGTTCGGCCATTAACCGAAAGCTCCTATTGGCCGTCATGAATCCAAACAAGTTCCGCGTCTGTGAATACCTGATTCGATATCACGAACGTCGCAATGATAAGATTATTGTGTTCTCGGATAATGTATTCGCGTTAAAGAAGTACGCTATCAAGCTAGGACGGCCGTTCCTCTTCGGTGACACATCTCAAAATGAAAGAATGAAGATTCTACAGAACTTCCAGTACAACCCCAAAGTCAGCACGATGTTCGTATCTAAAGTTGCTGACACTTCGTTTGATCTACCAGAAGCCAACGTTTTGATCCAGATCTCAGCTCACGGTGGCTCAAGACGACAAGAAGCCCAACGTTTAGGTCGAATTCTAAGAGCAAAGAAGCATTCCACAGAAGAATTCAATGCCTTCTTCTACTCGTTGGTATCACAAGACACGGTCGAAATGGCATACTCGAGGAAACGACAACGGTTCTTGGTCGATCAAGGTTATGCGTATAAGGTGGTGAACAAGATCCCGGCCATGGAAAAGGAACAGAACTTGGGCTTGACTACCCCAGCCGACCAAGCACAACTACTTCAACAAGTTATTGCAGCCAGTGACTTGGACATGGAAGAGGAAGATGTGAAGGATGGCGATGAGGGACCAAGGGATGCGAAGGTAAGGATGATGTTAATTTTAAAAATGTTTTGATAGGATAGGAGGGGGGTGGATGGGGTCATTTTGGTGGGTCTAAGGATTTTTTATTACTGTAAACAAAGTTATTGCGGTTTTCCGAAAGTTTAAAAATTTTTTAAAAATTTGTAAAAAAAGTTTCTTCCAAAACTCAAAAGTACTCAAAAATGCCATTTTACGACATTGTAAACAAAGTTCTTGTCAAAAAATTGATTTCCGCACTGTGCAGCGCCATTTGTCTTCTTTGCACAGTGCGAAAGCGCGCTCCCGTCCGATCTGGCAAGTTAAGCAACGGTGCGCTTGATTATAAAAAGTTCGAGGAACACTGAGTGGAAACAAAGTTTTTGATGTTTTTAGGGTACTGGAAAGAAAGTTTTTGCATTTTTAGCGTTGATAAATAATGTCATCTCTTATGACAACTTTTTTTTAATTTTTGAAGTCAGCTGCCAAAAACGAAGAAACTCAAATACAAATTAGTTTACCACCGTGAGCATCGTGAGCATTAGACTGTTATACTAATACTATTTCCAAATTTTCCAATTCTAAATTGATGTTATTTCAGATTGCACGAAGAGAGGGAAACGCGGCCGGTTTCTCGGGCGGCGGTGCAATGTCGTACGCTCAACGTGGACGACCGAAGGAACGCCATCCTTTGTTCAAACAGTTTAGGTCTTGATTTTTGTGTTGCAATTGAAATTTTAAATTATTTTTTGGTTTTTAATTTTGATTTGATTTTGTTGGCATGTTCAATATTAAAGGTACATATGTCTGTGGAGGTAGGTAGACATGAGGAATGGGCCGGGCTGGTTCTAATTTTCAGTCCCGGCCCGTTCTTCATGTCTAGCGGTAGGCAGTGGTTTTACTCCTCTTCTAACATAATTGTTACCTAAAATTTTTTTTGATTTATTTTTTTTCATGGAAGTTCTCTTTCCTCTATATCTTTATTCCAATTGGTTCTCACTTGTACATTATTATTATTGTTACTAATATAACGTTGGGTCTAAAAATGAAAAACATATGTTTAAAGATTTTAATAAATTTTTTTTCTTTTTTGTGACTTTTCGGCTGTATCACAGATAGTGGTCTTATTTATATTTTTAGATATTTTTTATATTTTTTAGTCGTTCTTTTACTAATATTATACTTATTTACCTTTTCTTTATATAATCCAGTTGCCGACATAAAGAACCCGCCATATTTTTCCTGTAATTCCCTGTAAAAAAATGGCGGGTTCTTTATGTTGGCAGCTAATATGCAAACATAGCTTAAGGCTGCCCAACGTACTATACTGTCGAATAGAAAATACAAAAGAAATATTTTGCGTAATTTCTATGATGTTAGATATCATAATGATTTAACAAGATAGCTTAAGGTAAATTGCGAGAAATGGTATTACGCAACGTTTTCTTATGTAATATTGTTAAATTTTGTAATATTTGCCTCGATGTAAAACGATCCAACAAATTACTGCGAGTACGGCGATGTTTTTTCTTTTTATTATGCGCAACGTTTCGGAAAAAATGACCAGAACTTTCTTTACAAAGCAAAAAATGGCAAGAACTTTCTTTACAAAACAAAAAATGGCAAGAACTTTCTTTACAAAACAAAAAATGGCAAGAACTTTCTTTACAAAACAAAAAATGGCAAGAACTTTCTTTACAAAACAAAAAATGGCAAGAACTTTCTTTACAAAACAAAAAATGGCAAGAACTTTCTTTACAAAGCAAAAAATGGCAAGAACTTTTTTTACAAAGCAAAAATGGCAAAAACTTTCTTTACAAAACATTCAAGACTAGCCTTGCTGAGCCAAAGCCTATTAATTTTAAGTGTACTAAGCCTAACTTTACTAATCTTAAGTTTACTAAGCCTCAGTTTTTTATTTGTAAGCCTAAATTTTTTTTACTTTGTTAATCAACCGTCTCTTTTTCAAAATTATATTGTCATAGACACTGAATTTAACCCTGAAGCAATTAAACAATATTCGATGTGAGAAACAGCGAAAAGCCGGCTTTAAGGACTCCGAAAACGAGTTTTTGCCCTCAGGGTTGATGAACGAAAATACGAGCGTAAGATACGACGATAAATTACTCAATCTCTCCTTTCCCTTTCCGCCATATGACATACGTCAAATGGTCGTTTTGTAAACATACTTCGACCGTTTTGACGTAGATATGGGGTTGATCTTACTGTACTTTTATCGGGGTTAGTAGAGGGTAGGGGGAGAGGGAGGGGGGGGATTGCTGTGTTTTTATATTCTTTGTTTAAGGGGGGGGGGGGGGAAGGAATGAACTGAGGATAAAAACGTTTTAGAGGGTTGTTTTCAGGCGATTCATGTATTTTCATTGTAAACCTACAAAGCTTTCGTCTATTAATCCTAAGCCTACATCTACTAAGTTCTAGACTATTAAGCCTAGGCTTACTAAGCCTAGGCCTACTAAGCTTAAGCTTACTAAGCCTACTAAGCTTAAGCTTATTAAGTCTAAACCTACTAATCCTAAGTCTAATAAGACTAAGCCTACTAATCCTAAACCTACTAAGCCTACTAAGACTAAGCCTACTAAGCCTATCCCTACTAAGCCTAAGCGTACTAAGCCTAAGCCTACTCAGACTGAGCCTTCTATCTCCAAGCCTAACACGTTTTTTAATAAAATTTAGTCAAGCTTTTAAAGCCAAAACTTAGCGCTCGACTCTAGTCTAGACTAACCAAAAAAACCCTATTTTTTTGCAAATTGTCAATGATCACTTTTTGAACTTTTTTTCTTTGCAAACTGACACTTTATGTTGAAAATGTTCCTCAAAACTTGTTTTGCAAACCAGCGATTGCGCAACAGATGTTTGACTTGAGCCACTTTGAGATTAATCAAATTTTGCACTTTTTTTTCGAAATTTCGAAAAGTCGAAAAACGATTGGCGATTTTTGGGTTGATCGATGGCTCCAAAGAAAAGAAGAAGATCTGTTCGTAATCACCGGATATCCGCCAACAAACTATCAATGGAGAAAGAGAAAACATCATTATAGGTTATGTTTTCATAATCAGGTGACGAACTTTGAGACTAGACCTCTGACGTCTGAGCGTGGACTTTGACTGTTATTCTGAGGTTGGAGCTTGATTTGTCCTACTGATTTCTGATTGTGAGGTGGGAGTTTGGCTAGCGCTTTGATGTTTGAAGGGGGACTTTGAGGCTTGGAGAACGCTGGGTTTAAGCTGTTTTAAAAAAAATTACGGTAGAAAACAATAGGTACTAATCGATAAATTAAGTTTTTAACTAGTACTAACTACTGATAGGTACTGAAGTAAATAGTATCATATTATAAGTACTCATGGATTCAAATACTGTAAGAGATAGTCAGTACGTATGAATCTTACAAAGCCTAAGCCTACTAAGCCTAAGCCTACTAAGCCTAAGTCTACTAAGCCTAAGCCTACTAAGTCTAAGCATACTAACCCTAAGTCTACTAAGTCTAAGCCTATTCTGTCTAAGCCTACTATGCCTAAGCCTACTAAGCCTAACTTTTCTAAGATTACCTAAGCCTACTAAGCCTAAGCTTACTAAGCCTAATCTTATAAGCCTAAGCCTACCAAGCCTAAGCCTACAAAGCCTAAGCCTACTAAGCCTAAGCCTACTAAGCCTAAGCCTACTAAGCTTAAGCCTACTGAGCCTAATTCTAATAAGCTTTAACTTACTAAGCCGAAATCTGATCAGCCTAAGCCTACTAAGCTTAATTCTACTAACCCTACTAAGCGTAAGCCAACTAAGCCCAAGCCTATTGAGTTTAATCTTACTAACTCTGAGCTTTTTGTGAATAAGCTTACTAATAATAAGCCTAATATTCTGTTAAGTTTTTTTTATTTTTGTCGTTTAATGCGAAATCGTAGTTTATGATTTCAAATACCTGCCTCTCATTTCAAAAATAGTAACCTCACTAACACCAATTCGTTTTTTGATAATCGCCTTTATATTACGCCCTGAGGCGAAATCCGGTTTGATATCCTGCACAGGTGCAAACATTTTGAACGGGTTTTGTTTCAATCACTACCCTTTAACGGTTATTGTAGCGCTAGTGTTTTTTACTATTGGGGTTTCCATATAATCTTTTTTTTTATTTTTTTAATTTATTTTTTTTGTAAAAATTTTAAATTTTGGTCCGAAAATTTTTAGAAAAAATAAAAAATTGTTTTTTGCAGCCTGCAGGTGACAAGTTATACGATAAATATGGTTTTGAGATTTTTTTGGCATTTAATTGCGTGTAAGGAAAGTTCTTGCTATTTTTTGTTTTGTAAAGAAAGTTTTTGTTATTTTTTGTTATGTAAAGAAAATTCTTGCCATTTTTTGTTTTGCAAAAAAAGTTCTCGCTATTTTTCCATTTTTAAACAAATTTCTTGTCATTTTTAACTTTGTCAAGAAAGTTTTGGCCCTTATTCAGAATTTAAGCAAATTTCTAACCAAACATCTCTCCCCCCCTCTCTTTACCCCTTTCTCCCTCTTCCTAAATGTCTACTGTAACCGGTAAAAATTTTAAAAATTAAAAAAAATTTAATTTTGAAAAAAAAATATTTTCAAAAAATTTTATAATTATTAAAAATGTGGTTGTTGATATGACATTCCCTCCGCGCAATTTCAAACGTTTTTTCGAATGTCCGAAACCGCCAAAAACAGTTTTGCGCTGAATCGTTTTGCGGAAGCCTTCAGAAGCGCCGAAAAAACATTTCCCACGTCGAAAAACGGATAAAACTGTTTTTTTACCTTTAGAAAAAAAAGTTTGTAGATCCACTTTTTGTTGACGGATATTTTGATTTTTGCTTTTGTTTGACTGATTTGGGTTGATTTTTTTATATAATATCATCGCTTTTGGGGGTGTAAACAAAGTTTTTGCTATTTTTTGTTTTGTAAAGAAAGTTTTTGCTATTTTTTGTTTTGTAGAGAAAGTTTTTGCCATTTTATGTTTTTTAAAGAAAGTTTTTGCCATTTTTTGTTTTGTAAACAAAGTTTTTGGCATTTTATGATTTGTAAAGAAAATTCTTGCCATATTTCTTTTTGGAAAGAAAGTTCTTGTCATTTTTTGTTTTGTAAAGAAAGTTCTTGCCATTTCTAGCTTTGTAAAGAAAGTTTTTGCTATTTTCTGTTTTGTAATGAAAGTTTTTGTCAATTTACATCTTGTAAAGAAAGAAAGTTCTTGCTATTTTTGTCTTGTAAATAAAGTTTTTGCTATTTTTTGATTTGTAAAGAAAGTTCTTGCCATTTTTCATTGTCTCCGCCAATTTGAAAATGAAAATTAAATTTTTTTTATTTTTTTTTGTTTTCAAACATTGTCAAACCTGTGGCGATAACACCTCTTTGGTTGACCATCTTCCTCGCTGAATCCCACGGATCGCTCAACTTAATCGCAGTCCAAAGTCAATCGGCGCAGCGATGGATTAAAGCGTAATTTGGGAGTAATATCTTTTACTACGCAGTAGAAAAAACACACTTTTATTTTGTGGTCAAAAGTGTTTTAGTTTGGGGAGGGTTTTTTTAAGGTAGGATAGGGTAAAGAGGTGTCTTCGTTGTAGGGTACCGAGTTAAAGGGAGGTTTGTTTGTGTAGGGTAAAGTAAAGAGTAGTTTTTAGGTTAGGGTAGGGTAAAAGGAGGTTTTTTGTCTAGGGTAAGGTAAAGGAAGGCTTTGTGTGGAAGGCA